AGGAAAGACTTACTGCTGAGCAATGGCGGAGAGTGACAGGAACTGTGCGAGGAGGGATACAGGGAAGGCGAGGAGAATGAGGCGGAGGGAGAAGAAGAGGGTGGAGAGGTAGCCATTGACGGGGATTCCCTTTCCCTTATGAATGGGTCTTTCTTTTTCTTTCTTTTGCTTTGTCTGTCAGGTTGACCCTCTTCTTTCCCCAGTTGTCAGCACCGTAAGTGGATAAGCCGGATGGGACGATGCCAATCCAGGCACCCCCGGATGACTTCCTCCCTGACAGTGACAGGTACACCCACTGAAAATCAGTGTCTCTCTCTCTCTCTCTCTCTTCAGAATACGTTACCCTCCGCGGATGCCGCCGTCGCAGTGATACTATGACTCAGGGGAAAAAATCATGCAACTCCCCTCTTTTGGTCTGCCTCACTCTTGATACTGCCGTTCTCTCTTATTTTCTCCCCTCTCTGTTCCAATCCGAACTCTAATCTACCCCGAGCCAAATTTCTGTTTTTGGTCTTTGTTTTTTTTTTTTTTTTTTTCTTTTCTCTGCCCACTGCCTCTCCTCCAGACTAAGGAATTCTAATTGATCGTCAGCTTGCGGGGAAACTCAAAACCGTCACAAACGCAAGCCGAACCCATGGCGTCATGGCGGGAGACGCGGGAACCAAAGCCTGGAGAGAGGGGCAAAAGCGGAGCTCCCACGGTACAGTACGGTATGGTTACCGCCCATCCGGGTTCCACTCCACTTCGCTGCAACAAAAAGAAGAGAGAGAGAAAAGAGGAAAAAAAAAATTTTTTAAGGAAGGAAAAAGAAAGGTGCCATAGAGTGAAGAGGGGGAGACGATCAGAGCTGATACGCTGAAGAGGCAAAAAGAAAAAGAGACTGGAAATCCATCCACTCACATCGAAGCAGCCGACTTCTCACCTCACCCTCCAAAACTTATTCTATAGGCCGCACGGACAGCCCGGGTCGGTCGACTATCGTATTCCTGGATGGGAAGGAGGGGTGATTGGTTCCTGAGGAACCGACGGGCACTAGTCGTGATCGGGGCTAGTAGTAGTCACTACTACTAGTAAGTCGGCAACCAGTGACGCAGAATAATACCGCCAGTGGGAGTGATAGCGGTCAACACCGGTAGTAGAGAATAGAAAAGAAGAGAAGCGAGGAATGGAAGTGACCTAACCAAACAAGGCAAGAATGCAGACAATGACAATATGGCAAGATAATGATAATAATAAAGCAATAATAATAAATAAGACAGGTCACGTTGAAAGGTTAACGGAAGGAGTCCAAGGCCCGGTAAATGCCAGCGAGTGGATGGTTGAACCAGGAAGTCCTTGGCAAGTCTGCTTGGAATCCAGTAGGAGGCATGAAAGAAAGTTGTTCCTTGGTCTCTATCATGCAAATGAATTAACAGGAATGAATAGTTCCCAAGTCGAGCGATGAGTAACCAATATCGTGGGCGAAGTGAACGATGTCAGTCACCTGTCAGCCAGGCCCCAAAAAAGAAAAGTCAAAGAACGATGAAGTACTGTAGAGGTACTCCGTAAACTCGGAAAAATAGTAAGCAGATGAATTCGGACAAAGGATGAAGTTTGTACGACATAAGACGGCGACCGCCAGATATTCGTCTAGTCTCCTCTGGCATGGACTCCGTGGTTGTTTATATTCACCTCCAGCCTCCTCAACAGCAGTTCCTCTCGCCTGATACCCCTGTTCAGCCGATGAAACCTGTTGTAACCACACGCGGGAAACTCGGGTGACCCAGCCGGCTACCATCGCAAGACACCATAGAGTCAGAGCACACAGCTACTATAATGATACGCTCGAGGATAATAGGCAAAGCCAGGATTGCCTGGGCTTAGACGGAACCCGAGCGAGACGGTCCCCTCCCCAAGTGAGTCCATGCTTGCCCGAGGTCCTCTGGCCGAAGCTGATGGGAGGATTAATCCTGAACGGAGACTGGCTATCGGTCTGGAGGGGATGGCGACGCTATCGGGACACTATCAGGGACTAACTACTGCTAGCAGAAGAATATTGCTGCGAGTCATTTATCCAGTAGCGCACTGTAACCCCAGACCCAACCGATTCTCTACGCACAGTCGATCTGCAGCTGCCGGTGTCACAGAGAGCCCTGGCCATCCCCCTTCGAACTGCGGAGAGCAGCAACTAGGCTGGGAACTTTTTTCATCCTTCCAGTCAACCCCTTCGATCGGCCCAGGCCACAAGAACTGAGAAAGACCAAAGATGGTCTAGATAGGACGGTCTAGGATGGTCTACCCACCACGCCGTTTAGCAATCAACACTTGTCACTTTAGTGCCATCCAAGATGGCTGAAAGCCATCACGAAGAATGTGAGAGGGTGAGGGCGTCATTCACGCCGTGCTGAGCGATCAGACGACTTCCTCTAGTCTCCCCCTCCATCACACTCGCTCGACCAGATGCCCCGCCCCAGAATTTCACCAGCGACGCGTCTGGATCTATGGTCGGATCTGCCTGGCTACTTGCGTCTACTTTGCATTGACCTTTTCGCTTTGTGATTTCTGCCGTTTCAAGATCCAATGATGTTGGTTGGAACTCGATTCCAAGGGTGGCAAATGCGGTGTGCCTGAGCGAGGAAAATAGCCTTGAAGATTCAATCTATGTGGGTTCCGTTTACTCTACAGGATATCATTTACTGGCCAATCTTTCTTAACAGTCTGCCAAATAATCCCTGTTACCGTATGCTCTCGTGTCTGGTCCGTGAAGGCTCGTTGACCCGCCCTGCCGGATAAACCCTCGATCCATGGCGCAGGCACCAGCATAGATCTTACACCAGGATGTCCTGACGAGATATCTTTGGTCGCGGTTCTGGAGGGTAGGCTTCGTCAGACGCAACGTTGACCCCCGGCAGATCAACTCCAGCTGATTAGTCCGTGGCCTTTAAGCCAGCTACATAGTATTTGGTTACAGACTGGTGGGTGGTGACTGGGATGCAGATCAATCACGCGTCACAATGGCTGAATCAATCAATCAACAACCCCACCATCCACTGTGATTGGAATAACCCCTGCAGGGCTGACTACCTAGGCTGCGCTGGTGCTTCGCCGCTATCACTTATTGCTCGTCACACCTTCCCCTCCTCACTTCTATTATCTTTCTTGGATATGGCATCGAGCTTGCATGGAGGCTATGCTAGGCAACGTGCGCATCCAAGACAACGGATCCCGTGCTACGGTCGCCCCTCCCATCTTTCGATATTAAAGTCATGCTCTGACTTGCTTATTGGTCAGCATTGACGTCAAAGGTCCCAAAAAGGAAGCTGGTCCTTATGCAACTGAAACACCTGGCAGTGTCCTAACGTCCTGGGCAAACAACACCGGATGTGACTTGAGATGAATAGCCGTTGGTACCAAGCCCAACCCTGTCTCTGACCGTGGTCTGGATCTATGGCTGGGAACGTACCTCCGACACTAGTATATACGCCGACATAGCGGCATCCAACAACGAATGCAGGAGCTTTCATGAGAGCTGCCAGGGCCAAGTCTGTGCGTATGCAGCCTGGCAATGCATCTGTCCCGAGCCAGATCCGGAACTTCGGCGCATTGTGTAAGCCATTTATCATCACTTCATGAAATGGGGTTGTATGACTTCCCTTGATTGGATTGGCTCAAAGCCTCGTTGACTCATTTGAATACGGTCTGGCCATGTATAGCCCCCAGACAAGGCCTGGACATGATGTGGAAGTCATGGTCTGGATGCTAACAGTCAGAACCTAAGTATGAGCACCTCAACTAAAACAGCCACACCTACGGGACACCTGATACCAGCTTGGCTGTGATTACACCAGTCTGATTCCCGAACCAACATCTTCCAGATGCCCTGATTCTGAGTGAGGGTAGCGTCGGCTACCCCATGCCATCTATCTATAGCCAATCACTCTTCCAATTTCGGACCCGATAGCTTTGCCTCGACCGGACTGCGCTTGGAATCGGATGCTTTGGCGCTCGGATAATAGGAGCTTGACTGAGCCGTAGCCAACCAAACGATATGCAGCGGTGATGACCAGACATTATACGTCCGTGCTATATTAAATACAGACGATGATCATTATAGCAATTGGAAGATCTTTTTGTCGAGGTAGGTGGACCGTCCAGAGCCGATAGCATAGCCTCGGTCAATGCTGAGGACATTCTCGCTCCGTGCGTGCTCCAAAACTTGGTAAGCAAAACCCACCAAAACACCAGTATGTTGAAGTCCCCAATGAATATTGCCTCTTCTCTATAGGGAAGGAAACTAAATAAGCCACGATATATCCATGATCATTCTGAAAACTGGCCTACGGTAAAGCGGCTCGGAGAACGTCCGTGACATATCTGGACTGATGCATGGGATACCGTGTGTATATAGCATACCGTGTCTGTAATCCACACCCAGGATGCTCGTAGTTCGGAATTCCCATATAGTTTTGCCCAGTCCAAGAAGTTCGCTCAGCAGGTACCTCTGATGAAATTGAAATGAAACAACACATGATTGGACGCAGGCCGCTTATCACCCGGCTGGTGACTTTTCTACACAGTGACCACCCACTACTAAGTTCTTATCCAGGACTTCTCCACTTCTCCATCAATGTAATGTACCTTTCGACATGCCCGCATAACAGGCTAGATAACGCATCCTGCATTGACAGTCCGTAATGACAATGTGGTACTTCAACTAAACTCCAGTACCCCGAGCTGAGATCTATCTTATGCTTCTTCCTTGATCTGCAGCGTCCGGGTTATGGCACACGGTGACAGCTCTACTCCTTTACTGGACTACGAGTCCTGATCTACCCTAAGTAGTCGCTTGATTCGTATAATATAATACATCCCGCAAAGCCCTGCATGAAATATCAGATCGTCAATCCATGCTTTTCAATACTGCAAGGGCTCGGAGGTTTGCTGGGCCGTAGCCCATGATGTAGTTACCAACGATCGAGTAGTCAAGTGTGAGTGTGACACGGGCTGTTTGAGGTCACAAATGGGATGTGTCCTTCGGGATACCGCTCTGCGACGTCACTGACTGGCAAGCACGTATCGCTCTTGAGAAGTGACTCGGGGGAATGGCTTGCATTGAACGATTCTGATGTATTCACAGAGAGCGGTAGATTATGATGTTGGAACAACTACTGTCAGTCAATGGTGATGGAAGGAAAGGGATGGAGGCAGCATATAGTTTCTCTATACCTTGAGTACTTATGTTTCAGGTGGGTAAGTAGACAGGGCACGATTGAAGCTTACACTCATTTACATTCCCTGTGGGATTCCACACTGCCTGACACCTGTGGCTTTGTTGTTGACTGGCTTGACTTATAGTACCTTGTTTATGTTTTGGAGAAGCGGGTGATTGGGGACCATTGGTGAGCCTTGGGATCATCTGGCAGAGGTTGTATGTGAAGATGAACTGGACTTATACGGAGTTGGTGATTGAGGTTGCGGTGGCGATTTGGTGGTTTGAGGTTAGGGTTGCGAAAAAGGGTGAGAGGATATTGGGTTGGGGAGCCGTTGATGAAGATGGGGAGGGAGACTCTGGCGGAGTTTCGGATTGTTTATGAGCGTTTTGGTGTAGTGGAGGGGATAGTGGAAGTAGGTGAAATGCGTGAAGTATTTACATTGAAGTGAAGATATACAGTCGGAATGACAAATGAATGAGCTCAACCCAACACTCCCGACATTCCGTGATCGATCGGGATACATGTCCCGTTGATGATCTCTGCACCAGGACCACAGGAGATAGACAGACACAGCTCAGCAACGCGATTGATGTCGCACATCGGTGCCGCAGCAGCAGTCATGAGAGCAACAGCCTTGTCCTTCCCTTCCAGGTTGATATTGGACATGAACGCGTCTGTGATGTTCGTCTCCATGCCACCCATCATCAACGCATTGCATCGGATTCCCTTATTGCCGTAGTACGAAGCCGTGTTCTTGGTCAAGCCAACAAGGCCGTGCTTGCTAGCGGTATACGCGGCACCTGTACTTGTCAGTCAATCGACCCAGGCAAAAGAAGCCAATGAGCAAAAGACATACCCGCCATAAATCCTGCCTTCCCAGCAATGGAGACGATGTTGACGATACTTCCATTGACTACATCCTGAGCAAGCATATTCCGAACGGCCAGCTTGCTCAACAGGAAAGGCGCAGTCAAATTCACAGCCATGACCTTGTCCCACAGCTTCTCATCCAGATCACCGACAGCATCGAATTGATCCATGATTCCGGCATTGTTGATGAGAATATCAAGCTTTTGGAAATTCGCGACAATCTCGTCGAAAAGGGCTTGCACCTCTGTCGCAGAGGCGATGTCTGTCTTGATGACCTTGAGTCTTGCATCGCCGCTGGGTCCGGCAAGATCCAGCGACGTCTGACGGAGTCGCTCCTCGTTGATGTCGCAGACGACCACGTTGGCTCCGGCGGAGTAGAACCGGGTAGCAATAGCTTTGCCTAGGCCACCGGCGCCACCGGTGACGAGGCAAGTTTTCCCAGTGAGGTCGATGGACATGGTGGTTGTTGGGCTCTGGATTTGAAGTTCTCGTCGGTAACGGTCAGGGGACATCCATGCCATTTATAGTTCGAGCCTTAACAGCCATATCCACATGGCTTGACCGCTGGAACGCAAGCAGCCGTTTCGCCTCAAGGGGCCATGCTGTGGGTGCGTATAGGCAAAGGCGTAACGGCCCGGATACTGTTGTTCGGGGAATCCGAGCGGACCGCTTGTCGTATTTGCGTATTCGGCGGGTTGTGTGGGGTCAGGGGACCAAGGGAAATGCCGCGGCCTTTTTATATAGACAGTCTGCCGCCGTATATTGCGTATTTCGTATAGGGTACGATTAATTAGCAGCAGGTGTGTATCTGAGGTTTGTGGCCGCCGAGAGACACGTCGTTGATCCGTCGGATGCGAGAATCGCTTAGGTTCCTCGTGCCGGTCCAAATATATCATGAGGGGCTTTGGTCTTCACGGACTGAAAAGCTCACATCATGGAAGTTGAGTTTCATGAGTCTGCCTCAACACTCTACCTGGTTAAATCATCAAGCTTCAACTCCGACTATAGGACATGGTCAACTGATCACTAACCTCCAATGACTTGGTATTGATCAACCTGGACCCAACTCCATGGTAGTAAATTGACGTGTCCGAAGGCATGGGAAGAGAAAGGAAGGACAGACAATAGCAGAAGACAGAGGGGGAGAACAGACCAGTTCAGAAGAGAGGATGAGGCTGAAGAGTCACATGTCCATATCTCGTCGTCCTTCCCTTTTCTTTACCAACTTCTCCACCTCCAACTAACTTCAACTTCAGAACTACGTCCTCCAATCGCCACAATGACATTCCGAAACTCCCCACGGCACAAATCCTTATTACTCACATTTCATTATCCCAGTTGCCTTTGATAAGCTTATCATCTCGGGATGGCTTATGACAAATTGGCATGACTGGAGACAGCTGCTCGCTCTGTCTCGCTGGTGGTCTCCCCAGCTTTTTCTGGGCGAATGTGCTCCACCGGCCATCGCGCAGACCTTCTCGATTTGGCAATGCTCGCTGTGTCTGCTTATCTTATCGCTACCCCGGCTATCGCTTCCCCGGTTCCTCGATGCCTGCAGAATGCATCTATGACCCTATCGCTCATAGTCCGAGGTGCCCATCCCCCTCTTCTAGCATGGCAATAAATACCCCCCAACTGGTGGCGGCTGCCGCGATGAACTCAATTGTAGACTTGTTGTTGCTTTTCGACTCTGTTCCCAATAATGGCGGTATCAGAAGATGAGATCCAGCCCGTGGGCCCTCTTACGACAGGGGAGGATGTGAGATTGGAGCATCTGGGCTATGAGCAGGGTATGTTGACTGGACTGGGGCCCGTGAAAGTGTGCTAATTTCCGCAGAGCTCAAACGGTCATTTGGCCTCCTGGGTATGATCGGATTCAGTTTCAGCGTCGTCACCTCGTAAGCCATTCCCATCGAGATATAGAGCCCATTGTGCTGACTCTGCCTCAAGATGGACCGCATTAAGTGGTGTCTTCATCGTTGGCGTCACGTCGGGCGGGCCCCCAGTTATGGTCTTTAGTTTCATTGGTGTCAGTCTTCTTACCCTAGCCGTCGCCATCCCCATGGCCGAAATGTGTTCGATGTATCCAGTGGCTGGAGGCCAATACTCGTGGGTGGCCGCCTTGGCTCCCCCCAAAATTTCCCGGGAGTTATCATACATTACTGGATGGTTCATGCTGATAGGTATGACTCCAACAACATTCGCACTGTAAGCGCTGAGCAAAACTCACCAGATACCTACTAGGACTGCTCGCAATGGGCGCAACGAACAATTCCATCGCCGCACAGTTCGTACTCGGAATGGCAAACCTCGTCTTCCCATCCTACGAGATCCAGCGCTGGCAAACCGTCTTAGTAGCCTACCTCGTGGCCATCCTTGCTGCTGTTATCAACATCTGGGGGCCCCATCTGCTAAACCGGCTCGCTCGTTTCATTCTTGTCTGGAATATAACCGCTTTCTTCATCACTGTCGTCGTCCTCCTGGCGACAAATGACCATAAGCAGTCTGCATCTTTTGTCTTTGTCGAGTTCCAGAATTTTGCCGGCTGGGACCGGGCAATGGCAGCCATTGTAGGCATCCTACAGGCCTGCTTCGGTATGTGCTGCTACGACGCCCCCTCACACATGACCGAGGAAATGAAATCCGCCTCCAAGCAAGCACCGCAAGCAATCATAATGTCCGTTGTCCTTGGCGCCGTCACCGGCTTTGCTTTCCTTCTAGTACTCTGCTTCTGCATTGGTGATATCGCCACCACTCAGAACTCCCCTACCGGAGTGCCTGTCATCCAGATCTTTTACGACTCAACTGGTAGCAAAGTGGCTGCCTGCTTCTTGGCCAGCATGATTGCTGTAATAGTTATTGTCGCAGGGAACAACATCCTTGCAGAGGGCTCCCGCTGTGTCTACGCCTTCGCCCGCGACAACGGCCTCCCGTTCAGCAAATTCCTCGCCAAAGTCGACAAAAAGCGCCAGGTCCCCATCAATGCCGTCCTGCTCACCCTGGTCGTTCAGCTCGCATTGGATGCAATTGACTTTGGCACCTCGACAGGCTTCGAGACCGTCATTGCCATTTCCACTGAGGGATTCTGTAGGTCTCTCCACATATATCCCCCAATAATAAATAGCAAACACATAACTAACAGAGTATTAGATTTATCCTACGCAATGGCCCTTGGAAGTCGCCTGCTAGGCTATGTGACCAACCACCGACGTACCCTTACGGGCCCATTCGCGCTACCCACCTCAATGTCTATTAGTCTGAACGTGCTTGGGCTGCTGTTCTTGCTGTTTGCGTCCATCACGTTCAACTTTCCCGAGTCGTTCCCGGTGACGAAGGACTCGATGAATTACACCAGTGCTGCGATTGGAGTGATTGCAGTGATTAGCGTGGCGACATGGGTAGTGACGGGGCGAAAGCATTTCACAGGCCCAGGGGCGTGGGACGGAAGTGACAGTAGGGTTACAGAGGGGAAAGTGGTTGAGTTGAACGAGGAGCAAGAGACTGAGATAGAGAAGAAGGGATGAACATCCTCTGGGATGATTTCTCTTGTATGTAGATTATGTGCAGAAATTATGTGCGCAATATACCCATCCATGTACATACTTCAGATCATATGAATTCCAGACACACATTCACAGTACAACCCACAAACAATACCGAGTAACCTGGAAAAAGGTTACTCATCACTCCTAACCGGCTGCGCAACCATCAGCGCCAGCAACGAATGGGCCACCTCCGCCGCCGCAAGCGTGGTCGTCTCCCCGGCTGTGTCATAAATCGGGGCGACCTCCACCACGTCCGCCCCGATAACAGGCATCCCACGCAGCGCGTCAAGAATGGTCAGGAGTTCACGCGTAGTAAATCCACCTGGCTCTGCAGTGCCGGTTGCTATACATTATTCATCACACATAGTAATCAGCCTCTCTCCATTCCTCTTTTTTTTATTTTCTTGCAAGAAGCGTAACAACAGGGGAAATTGGGATAGGCTCACCTGGTGCATAAGCCGGGTCCAGCACATCAATATCAACCGAGATATAGACTCTGCTATCCCCGACGCGGGATTTGATTTGCTCTACGAGGCCGGAGACGCCGAGTCGGTCGAGGTCACGGGCGGTGATGATCTCAAAGCCGCAGCGGAGGTCGTTTCGGATGTCGCCTTTTGGTCGGACTACGGGGGCACGGATTCCGACGTGGATGGAGGTGTTTCGGATTAGGCCCTGTTATGGATTTAGTTTGTTGTTGGGGTGGGATGAGGTAGTGAGAGATGGTGTGGTTATAGTATACCTCTTCGTGGGCGAGGTGGAGGAATGTGCCGTGGTTGACGCCTCTGTAGCGAGTAAGTGTTAGTATAATGGGAGTTGGTTGAGGATGAGTTGCATACGCGTAGTGAGAGACTCCTCCACCTGTATAAGAGGTTTGTTAGTTATACATATATACTATGGGGGAGAGTTAGCGTACCTAGCACTTTGGGGTCCCATGTATCTAAGAACGAGCTTGTCAGTGTTGTTATATATATGGAGTGTTTGAGGTGTGGATTTGGCATACCAATATGACTGTCAAAGTGAATCACTGAAACAGGGCCCCATTTCTCGTACGTCGACCGCAGAGCAGACAAAGTCGTGGTGTGATCTCCACCTAGGGTGATGATACGGGGAATTTGGCTGAAATGCGTGGTATTGGCACGACGAGACGAGACGACCTGTATCCTCCTACATTAATTAATTGAACATGCAGACTGAGGTAGTAGCTTGCATGCCTTGTGTGCCATATCAAGCTGCTTCAATGCCACGGTATTATCCAACCAGGTCAATGGGGCGTCGCCGCAGTCAACAAGCTTTGCCCAGCTGGCAAAGGCGTTTTCTCCCGTGTAGATGCTCCATCCGCCTAGACGACGGGAGCCGAGTCGAATACCCTTGGGTCCGAATCGAGCCCCGGGGCGAGCCGTGACACCCTACGTGTGCCTATTAATTGCGATCGATGGAAAAGTAGGAGGAGAAACGGCCTACCGTGTCAAAGGGAGCGCCGAGGAAGGCAATGTCATAGTTGTTTAAAGTTGATTCATCGTCCACGAAGCAATTGAGGTAAGGCAGGTTGGCGAAAGTAGTCAGACCTGAAAATTGGCTACCGGTGACGATGTCAATGGTGTCTTCATGAGCGAGAGGATATTGGTGGGAGGAGGGATTATTATGGATGGCAGCCACAGGAGGGAAGACGATATCCCTCGCGTAGGCTGGCAGGATGAGCAGGATAGCAGCTGCAATGAGACGATACATGATGTCTAACACAGAGCAAGTATAGACCCATAGTGGGGAGAGAGACGGGGGGGAATAAAATGACCGGACGATCCGAGTAAGTTATAGTTTGCTGCTAATGAAGCTAGCCAAGGGCAGCTCTTATCGGAGGTGGACCAGAAAAGCAGTTCCATGCGAAGAAAGCTCCACAGCTGCAGCCAAGAGAAAGGGTCCAGCGCGAGCGGGTTCATATCATTGATGACCGAGTGCATGATTATTCATAGCTAGATAATAATGTTGTTCTTATGGGACCGGGATGGATGATGGCGATGAGGGGACGGCAGATGGCGATCGCTGAATCTCGTGCGGAGGAACCCCACTTTCATTTTTCGCATCGCTTCGTCTTTCGCGTCATCGCCGCAGTCCCATCCACCCTCCATCCTCAATTGCTTCATCGCTGATCGATAGACGAGCGCAGTATCATAATGGTATAGTCTCTTTTCCAGCTGTAGCACATGTTCCTTCGAGTCATGGAATATCCGTCCACTAACATCCCCCCACCAGCCTCACGCAGACTCCTCTTACTTCGGCGCCGGCAATGGCTCCAAATCCGAAGTCTACACCCAGGTCCTAGAGCAAGCTCGGGGTCTGGTATACGACCAGCGCAATTGGGTACGATCTTCTTACCTCTAACTCCTATCTCTCCCATATCCAATTCACCAGCTAACCAACCACTTCTCCCACCGCCAACAGGTCAGGTAAGAACAACTTCAACTATCGCGCCCCCTCTCACCCAAAGAGCACAGCAACCTAACCCTCTCCAAACCAATACAGTAATTTCTCCAACGTCGCCTCCCTCCTCTGGCACGCCTACGCTGCTCTCCCCGCCCCCTCCTCCTCCGTCAACTGGGCCGGCTTCTACATCCGCCAGGACAAGTTCCCCGTCCTCGGCGCACCTTTGGAAGAGGACAGCAAAAAGAAGCCCGTCCTCCTTCTCGGTCCATTCCAGGGCCGTCCGGCATGTCAGGAGATTCGCTTCGGGCGGGGCGTGTGCGGAACGGCAGCTGAGAAGCGCGAGACGGTCGTCGTGCCGGATGTGTTGAACTTCCCGGGCCATATTGCGTGCGATGCGAGCAGCCGGAGTGAGATTGTGGTGCCGATTTTGAGCAAGGGGGAGGTGAGTACTGGATCTATGTTATCTGTATCTAATCTAGTGGATGATGGCTGATGGTGTATGTTGGGCAGACTGTTGCGATTATCGATATTGATTGTGCGGAGCCGGATGGATTTGATGATGAGGATAAAAAATATCTGGAGGAGTTGGCTGCGCTGCTGGCGGAGTGCTGTGATTGGTGATTGGTGATTGGTACTAGTACTACTGAGATTGATGTGGTGTGTTTATAGATCTGTGGCTGAGGATGGATGGTATGGTGTAATGATATATATAGATGGACGAGTAATGATACTTGGAGTGATTGAAGATGAAGACAGTAACCATGATAAAATTGTATACCCCCAGTGCGAGATTGCAATCTCCCGGGCATTCAGTTCTTCAATTTCTATCGCAACTAGTGTGCCAAATATAACCGTCTAACGCCTGTGCATCCATCGCTGGGGTCTCACGGACTCGGATGTGCCTTCCCAATATATAAAACCAAATATAGCGTTCTAATCAAGGCCCGCTATGGCAACCAAACATATCCAAAAAGTCTATTAGGCGTCGCTGTAAACCGAATAAAGAAAAACGAAAGTGTATGTGTGCCGCTGTTCCATGGAACGAGAAAAGGATGCGCGTGCGCCAACCAGTGTCGCTCGTGGAATGAACAATATAAAATGTGTATCCGAACTGACGGGAACAATAGAAGAAAACTTAAGCATAACCCCAGAAGAATGGGGTAGGTGAGAACGGGGGGACGGCACCCGGGGAAATGAACAGCCTAGGTGCTGAACATGCTCATTTGCCGCTTCAGAGGGCTGATAGACCCTGCATCGCCATCCTCACTGACCCCCAAGCCACTGTCCGTGCCAGTTAGCCCGGCATCGGTATCGATGTCCCACTCGGTGTCTTCATCATCCTCGGTGGCTTCGAGGCCCGCATCTGAAGAGCTGTGCCAGCTCTTCTGCACGGCACCGCGTGTATTCCACCGCAGCGCTCGCTGAACGCTCTGGAACCACTCTCCACTACCCGCCACGACGGTCGGGAAGGGGTATTGACTTGCTTCGACGGTAACATAGTCGCCTTGGCGAAGTTCCACACGACCCTTGCCATCGAACGAGCAGTACGCGGTCGACCGCGACCCGGCGGGAACGGCAATACGAAGTAGCAGGGTATCGGAGAGAACCATGGGACGGAAAGAAAGTGTATGGGGACAAATGGGGGTAAGAAGAATGCCGGGAATAGAGGGGTGAATCAAGGAACCGCCAGCGGAAAGAGAGTATGCCGTGGAACCTGAGACCACATGTCAGTCGGTGATTTGAAAATCAGTCTGTTGTTTTTGCGGGTCACACGTACCGGTAGGAGTAGAGAAAATGCACCCGTCCGCTTGCACCACGGTGAGCAGATCATTATCTGCGTACAGTTCAAGGTTTGACACGTATGGTGACGGCCCTCGATCAATCACGAGCTCGTTCAACACCTCAAACTGCTCCCCTTCCTCCACGGCGCCCGCCTCGGCGCCCTTGCTGCGGTCTTTACGGAAAACTGTACAAGTAAAGCGCATCCGCAAATTCACTCGCATACCTACATCACCCATGACCGCATTCAGGTGAGACTTGTAATTCTCAAACTCGAAATTCGTCAGGAACCCTAGGCTTCCCAGAGAAAAGCAGAGGACCGGGGGGACGATGCGCTGGAAGAGCCAGGATGTGAAAAGCACGGTCCCATCCCCTCCTAATGTGAGGACCAAATCGAATTTCTCGGGAGCTGTCCAGCAGAGATCGGGGGTCCAGTAGTGCAGCATCTCCTTGAACCGGGGTTCCTTCTCCAGGAGCCCCGGTGCATCGAATCTTCGTGAGTTCCGAAGTTTAGCGTCTACGTAGACGTTCACACCCAAATCGTTGCCGTAGCGAGGGGTGGAGAGGAGCCATTCCGCCAATTCGCGGGTCAGATGCACCAGGCTATTATCGCGTGCTTTGGTGACGATCATAACATTCTTGACAGCGCGTTTGATTGGCCTACGCTGCAATTGCTTCGACACCTCTCGGACACCAGTCGCTGTCTGTACCAGGCGGGAATGCGATAGCCACTCGTCGTCCGCAATCTCTTCCAATACCTTCTGAATATTTACGGCGTCATCGAAACGCTGGTGGAAGAAGCATGGTGACTGCATAACCAACCGGGCTGTCGCGGGAGAACGGTCCAGGTAGGTCCCTAGCTGAATATTGGACAGAGCTGCAGAGAGCATCTGTGACGAGGAATTGCTGGAGTTGCGCTCCGTTTCTTCCGAGGAGGTAGGGTTCGTGTTGAGAAGCCCCAAAGAGGCCGCCAGCGGCATGTTTGGGCTTTGGTGGTTGCACATGGATGGTCGTGATGCGAGAGCTTTGAGAAGGGTTTGGCGAGGAATTGAATCGTTAGACAACGCGTTCCGATGATGGCCCGCTAGAGAGGCCGTCTGCCGGCGTGGCAGGAAGGACGAGGTGAAAGAGGGACCAGCGGCACCCTCACGAGGAAGATCAGGTTTCTGAAGTGAGCCGAGACCCAGATTGGGAGACTCGGGAGCCGAGTCGGCTGCGTGGATATCGTTTGTCGTGTGAGAAGGATCTATGTGCAAGGCATAGTCGCGGAGGAGCGATGCTCCCACAGTGGCCGAGCGATGAGGAGGAGGAGGGCGCACCGGAGGATCTGATAGTGGTGGGGCCGCGGAGGACGGCGGTGGTGGTGGTGATGAGGGCAAAGATATTGAGGGCGACGGCAGAGGGCCGGTCGCGGGCAGCGGATCGGAGGACGAGGCAGAAGAAGGGTTCATCGAGCCATGGTCAAGTGGGGAGGACGCCATGGACAGATATAGAAATATGACAGATTGTGCGATGCAGGAGCTGGTTGGCTCAGTATCAGTCAGACGGGGTACACAGAGCAAAATAAAATAAAAAATAAACGAAGGGGGCCTCGATAGGTAATGATGGAATATGCTGGAGACGGAATGGAAAAACGCCGGGGGGGAAGGATGGGAGTAACAAACTCGGATGTAACGGGGTTTGGGTGGGCGCCTGTCCAGCGTAATCCACTTCAAGGTTCACGGCGGGCCCTGGCCATTGGTCAGGGTAAATACTCTCTCTGGTCGCATCCACCGGCATTGTAGTCTAGTCTTCTGGTCGAACTTCGATAGGCTTCCACTTCCTTATTAATGGGAGTTCAAGAGCGGGTGACTGTCATCATTGAAGCCGGGGTTAGTTGTCTTTTTCCCCCCGGTTCTAGTGCGGGTGGCAGTTAACTCCGCAACAGACACTCCGGGCTGGAGTGGCAGTAGTAGTACTAGAGTCACCAACATCTACTACCCAATCAGCAAGCTGACCCAAATTCTAAAAGGCCATGGAACGCACAATATAGAAGAGAAAGTACTTACTACTACTACTACTCCATAGCTGTTGGGGAAATCATGACGTGGGTTATTCCGAGGCTGACGGAAAAAGTAATGTGGGAGGGGAATTCTGGGTAACTAATGGAGAGAGAGGATGCATACTTAGTTAGTCAGTCCGACTGGAGTTAACTAACTAACTAGTTGACTAGTTGTGAGTTAGTCTCGTGTGTGTAAAGTTGTAAGGTATGCGCCTGCTCGCCCGTATTACTTTCATGAATGATTACTTATTTACCGAACCAATTCCCCTCCCTGCCCTTTCATTGTTCCACCCTCCATTGCCTGAAGAGGCCGATCGCACATAACAGGTGCAAGGGAGCCAGCATCACACTGTGCAATGGACTTACTAATCTGATTGATCCATCATATTCTATTCCTTTTGGCTGTGCAGATCGGCGCATGCCTCGGTCTCTCTCCTTTTCAATGGATGTCTCTCATCATAGATTACGAGCGATTACACGTTGCAGAACGCAGGGATGGGGGGTGGCCTACAGTACTCAAGTTCACTAATGGTCTTCGTTCCACAGATCCTTGAATTTTTCCCAACTTCATTCGCATAGCTCTCTAGGAGTAGAATGGTCACTTTCTATTAATATCCGGTATATTGCAGCAGTCCCCATGTGGCTGGAGCTGGGGGTTTCGCCTGGCCTTATCGCTGGGAATGTAACTCTTCCGAGACTTCTAACTGATGGTGGTGGTTGGCTCCTTGCACGCACGTCCCTCGTCGTGATCCTGTTAGATGGCTTTTTTTCGGTTCCTGCGACGAAATTCTCCCCGGCCATCCCTTGTGTCCTTCTCTTAGCCTGCATACCAGCCAGTAGAATATCGTCTATAATAATCCTTCTACACTCGTCCAGAAAGTCTCATGCACATGGGCCCGCGTGCGGTGAAAAAGCTTCCTTCGTGTGCAAGGGGCATGTGTAAAAGCCACCTGGGAACACTGGCGATAGAAGGGACGGCAATTCGTGGGAGCGACCGCTCGCTGGCTGTGACCGCCCGTCGCGACTGAATTTACTTAGCTGCCGTGGCATCCGCGGGCTAATCAAGCAGCATCAATCTTCCAGGCGTAGTCACGGTGGATCTGATCTTCAATAGACTCGCGCATGATCCCCTCCAGGGGCTGACCATCTACATCCTCAACCATGGCAGTGTCCCCATCAGTGCCAACAGCCGGTGTGCCATGACAGATTGCCGACGCGCGCTGGTGGACCCTTTCCCATGTCTCAAAGTCAAAGGCCCCTGAGCTCTCATTTAGCAGCAGATGGCCCTTGGATGAGAACGCTAGGGCGTGCAGGGACTTGGCTGTGGCTGCCTGTTCGGTCGACGGTTCCCGGGTGATGTCGCCCGACGCGCTTACGGCCAGAACAGTCGCAGAGAAGGTCATGGAAAGAGGAACAGCGGCTGATAGCAAGGCAAGAAGGGCGGTATGAAGCAGCGCGGGCAGAAGGGTCAGATACTATTATAGAATTTCAAGACACTGAGTTAGCCACCAGAGCGACGCCAGCTGAACAGAGGTTGTCCACTTATCGCCAATTCATAGGATACGTACCGACTCTCCTCTTCCTACACTCCCGCCGCCGACGATGGCTAGCGTGACCACAACACCACGCCGGGGGTAGCCCCTCTCGCGTCCCAAGATCAACCTTCCGAGGACTCCCTTGATGATTCCCTCCACGTACCGTTCCCCAACACCAGCAGGCGCAGTACCCGGTTTAACGAATACTTCCACGGTCGCTTCTTCGGGCTTCAAGGCATCTCGGCGTCCAGGAAGCTCGACAGGTGCATTGACAGAGCCCAGAATATTGGATCCGGTCGAGGGACACAGATAGGAAGCCGAGCCATCGGCGCGAGCAAGAGGAGTAAGGGTTGCAGTGGGCCCGACCATGATGACGCGTGAGATATGTGAAAAGTTGGAAAGTATGTAAGAAAAAAAAGACAAGGTAAAAACAAGATCAATGAATGAATGGAGGATAGTTGATTAGAAGTGTCGCGACTTGAGGAACAGAGGTGATACTCTGGACCCGAGAGCTTCCAAGGTCGCCTTGGGAAATTTTTGGCCGCGGAGTCTGCCGAGTGCAGGCCAGCTTGTGATTGGTGGACCCTTTCCCAGCCCACTGTATGTAGTAGTACTAGTAGTACTGAGTAAGTACAGTGGTAGTACTGTTTTTTCGAATAGATAGCTAGGTAGTTCGTAGTATTTGGCTGAACATAATGCAGTAAAGACAATTCTCCATGGTCTCACTTGAGAATATGTGTCTGGCTAGATACTCTCGAAATCATTAGTACCTTCGAAACGCATCATGACTTTTCGGATCAATGACACAGACCTTCCGTCAAACAGCGGATGTAGAGTCTCGCTACTACTAGTAGTATTTGTTGCAGTCAGAAGTCATCCTGCTGCTGCTTTGATCACCTCAATGTGTGAACCATTAAAATCGCTTGCTTGATAGAAGTAAATACTTCACTTTCACGTGATGTATCGACAGTGAAGGTAGGCCACTAATCCAATGGGAGAACTCGACAGTTTAATTTCATTATACGGTGGGATAGATTCACGAGGCTCCATGCTTGGGCTGCGTACGTCCTCTGGTGTTAAGAGGAACATATGTATGATGTGCCGATGATAGTGAGATTCTTCTTCGTCTTCTTTCTCTTCTAGTACATTCTCTTGATCGGAACTAATCAATGAGATTGTTTCTTGTAAGCTCGTTTACCCCCTCTGTCAGCCGGAAGGATCGCTTCGGACACCGACTCAAAAGCCGGACTGTGTGCGACCGAGAGCTTTCAGGTGAAGATATCAATTACTAGCTATCTTTAGGCGCACTTGGGGAGTTGCTTTCCAACAACTGCTAAGGATGCTATTCTGTCTTCGATAATGAACCATCGCCGAAGAATACAATTCAAGGCAAGGGGAGGGGGGCAAGGGCTCAACGAACGACATCCGTGTTGCACATTCCTATTGCTTTTCTACTCGGGTATATTGCTGTTACACACCGATGGCATGCTTTCCGGCAGTCTACTGTTCCGATAAGTTCAGCCCGAATCACAGGCGATGAGAGGATGTGAGTAACTTCTCCGGGATTGCCCCCGCAGTGGACCTGGAATCATCGCCTCGCCGGGGCACTGATTGTATTCATGATTATTGTATTATTTCACGGCTTGGAAGCCGAGATCATATAACCCGACCCCCCAGAGATAGATACTCCGCGTCCGATAGTACCAGGAATGGCATTTAGCATCAGCATACCTTGTTTTTAAAGCCGCGGTGCCCATCGGGCCTTGCTTATGCTGGCATCTGCACCTGTAGTGGGGACGGCCTCTCTATCACGCTGCATGTTATCCCTCCTTCGATTTATTCTTCTTACATCTCCTCCTTTCGAGTCTACCTCTCGGCGAACCTGCAACAATGCCCCGAATCCTCTGCCTGCATGGGAAAGGCACCAGTGGTGCCATCTTCAAGTCCCAAACGTGTCGGTTATGCGACCACTCCCCATTTCAGTTACCTCTCAGCTGACTTCACTTGGTTTCCTTAGCTGCGCTGCGCGCTCGATTATCTGACTTGCAAATCGACTTTGAGTTTGTCGATGGATTTTATACATCTGATCCGGCTCCAGGGATTGACCTTTTCTATCCACCTCCTTATTACTCCTTCTGGGAGCAAGACAATATCGAAGCCGTTTTCCATAGTCGAGACTGGCTCGTGAACTACCTAAGAACCAATGGCCCTTACGATGCCCTCATGATGTTTTCACAAGGATGCGCTGTCGGCTCATCCACCGCCCTCCTTCAGTTGCTCGAAGAGCCAAATCAACCCTTGCCCTTCAAAGCTGCCATCTTCATCTGCGCGGGAGTGCCGCTACGCGTGCTGGAAAGGGTGGGGTATAAAATTGCCCCCGAGGTCTGGGACAAGGACATCGTGACCCGGAAGGCACTAGCAGCACAGGCCGACTCCTCAGCGATCTTGTCACAGGGCTCGATGCGTTGGCAGGGGGAGAAGGGGCCCAGGGCGTCTGAGGCGGATGTCCGGAAGGAAATCGCGCCTTCAAACGTCCAGATTGATATCCCAACGGTGCATATATACGGTGATAAGGACCCACGATGGTCCGCTGGCATTCAGCTGTCCCAGGCGTGTAACGCAGGCAAGAGGAAGATGTATAATCACGGTGGGGGGCACGAAGTTCCTCGTACGAATGAGGTGACTACGAGTATGGCAGAGTTGGTTAGATGGGCATTGCGAGAGGGCGCCGTGATTTGACGAGAACCTGGCCCGCGTTGACTGTTACAGAATTCGATTCAAAGAATCGCTCTCATCTAGATACTGCTATAGAGTTCTTCCTAATTAACTTTGAAAACACTGTCTTGCATACGGCAACACGTGGGCCAATATGGGGAGTATAGATACGTATCATGGTCAAAAGAGCCTAAACAGCATCAGGGGCATGCGAAACAACCTCCAATGAGCGACCCAGCCTAGTGATTGAATGCCCTCCTGCATACTGTATATCCTATTTTGGAGATACAGTCTCATTTCGCTACTGCCTTACCACTAAGCCGTCCAGGTTTCCAAGTTCTTGGTTGGTCTCGTGATCATAGGCCCAAGTCGCCTTCGCTTGACGATCGAACCGGACTTGGTTTTTCTTCCACATCAGCACAACCGCAAACAGCTGGGCCACACCGCAAGCCCCGACTGCGTACATCTGGTGATTATAACCATGTGCATATGCTGTACGGATCGTTTCCTGTACATTCATCGGTAATCCGGAGAGATGGTTCTGGTCTGCAGCAGCGTTGGCGGGCGGAAGATGCCCTTTAACATAATTGATTAATATGCTATTCACCATGGCAATGCCTAGCGAGGCACCCAGCATGCGGGCCTGGAGGGTCAAGCCCATCACAACGGCTATAGATGTCAGTCCACGTTGGTCGGGGAGGGTCCAGCATAAGTGCAGAATCCCAAAATTTATCCGACTGACCTTGATCACGATGTCCGACCACCATCGGAACAGCCATATACAGGGCCGCGATGGATATTCCGGTGCCCAGACCAGTTACAGCCATGTATCCATACTCGCCCGGCCAGGCATTCACGGTGGCCGGCACGGAAGACAGCAGGAAGGCCCCCACTATCTGTAGCACGGACCCAGCCAATGTCAGATAGACGAACGGGGTTCCCAGCCGACCGGCCAGGACAGTGCAGCATAATGCCCCCGCCGGGGAGCCCACCCCAAAGGCGAGAACCCTCAAGCCCGCCTCTATTGGGGTGAAGTTATTGACGGTCTGGAATTTTTGGGGGAGCTCGATGTATAGTATAGTGATTGCAGGCCCGGTCAGGAAGAAGCCACTGCGGGAACGTCAAATTCTCATGTCTGCGACTAGCCAGGACAACTCGAAAGACTCTTGCAGGACGGAGCGGGGAAGCTTCCACTAACATGATGATTCCCAACACCACTCTGCTTCTGAACAACCGCCATGGCAACATGGGTTCCATGCGCACGTGCTTTCGGCTGCTGAGGATCCACTCCCAACCCAGAAAGGCCACCAGAAGGACGCCCGAGCTGGCCAAACACCCAATGATAATCCCGGATGACCAGGCATATCGAACGTTGGCTTCCTCCAAAGCGGCCACTAATAGCATCGAAAACGATAACAGAAGTAGGTATCCCAATAGGTCGGCCTGAGTTAGGAATTCATGCAGTTGGGTCCGTACAGGACGACTCCTGATCCTCCCACTAAAGTGCCTCGGAGCGAGCAGGAAGAGCGTAATCCACGCCCATCCTCCCGCAGGGACGCTAAAGACAAACCATTAGGAATAGAGCGACATAACAGGAAGGAGTCTAGTTTACGATCTTACTTGAAGAGAAAAACCCAGCGCCACGAGCCAGAACTGCTAATGCCACCTCCGATCAGCGATCCCAAGATGAGGGCGAAAGTCAACACGCTGGAGCCGACGGCGCTGGCAATCGCATATTTGTTCGGAGGCACGATGCGCACTAGGCTATATAGTCCAAGCGTGAAAAGTCCGGAGCCGCCGATTCCCTGAAAAGCACGGCAGATAATGCTTTTTGCCTCTGGTCAGCAAAGTCCGATGCGCTCGAATCCGGCTAGCGGAAGCTGGCTTACAGTTGGTTGATGCTTTGGGCGGCACCACAGCCCCCGGAAAAAGCAATGAATAGGAGAAGAGAGCTCAATAAGGTTGGTTTGTGACCAAAAGTGACAGCGCATTTAGACCAAGGGGCGAGAAATCCGGTGTAGGTTAAGAGGTACGACGTGATGACCCACGTACTTTGATTGCCTCGTCCAAGGTGTTCGTTGATGGTGACAAGCGATGTGCTGATTACTGTGATCTCAGCTGTAGCTAAGAAGAGACCCAGCGCGACACTACCGCGCGATAAGCTGACTTAGAATGCGTTCTGCTAATCTCGGTCGGAGAAATGATTGCGCCCGCTTACCTGGCCCCTACAGTCCATAGTCGAAGCCCATGCAAATATTCCGATGGGCTACTCTGCGCCTGAAGCTCAAATCCCGAATGGTTGGTATTGTCTTTGTGAGTAGCTTCGGGCCTTGACAATAACGACTCTGGGGTCACTGCTGGTAGATTGATCAACTCGGTTTTCGAGCCATGCAACTCAAAACTGCCCATGGTTCTGGGTGAAGGAAGCCCCACTCAATCGACTAGAGAGACGCCGAAAGTGATCTGTCTTGACGCGATCAATAGTGGATGTGCGTCTTATCATTAATATGTGCCAGTCCCTTTGGCCACAATATTTGACTATGTCCCAGCCCCCACTGATTAAGAGCCAGAGGAGATCTACAGCACTTTCCTTTTCGGCAGTTTCATACGGAAAAGAACATCTTTGTAGCTATGTTGATCAAGTTCAGCCATCAATGCAATACGCAATACTTGGTTGCTCCGACCCCGCGGAACTACAGAGTATGTGGGCTAAAGGAGGAACTAATTTAGGTTGAGGGGTGTGGGTACAAGCACGAAGAACCCTGAAAGTTGGCTTCGTCAAATGCTCTGAACTCCTACATTCCCGGCCCCATTGATTAACTACATAGTGTGGAGATCAACATAGCGCCGCTCCCTTGGGGGTCACCAAGTGCATCAGTGATTGGATGCTGTCTCAACTGCCCTGCGAATAACATTGACGGCTTGGGTCACATCTTCCATTGACCCTCCGCCGGGAACTTCGTGCCCTCGACCGTGAACATACACCCATCTCACCTCAGCCTTGCAAACACTATTTGACGTGGCTACCCGGCTGGCTGGCTCGTCTAGTGAGCCCCAGATGTGGGCCGTTGGGATTGGAATAATGCCTTTGGTGGCTTCGAGATCCACGGTCATCACACGACCTTTCTGAAGAGCTTCATAATCAAGAGGGGGATGGGTGATCGAAAGGATAATTGCAAATTTGAATGGCATCTCAGCCTGAGGATCGCGCTTGGCAAGATGAATCAGGTACGTGAGGATCATCGTGCCTGCTTGGCTGAATGCGATAACCCCATCATAGCGCCCCTCGTCGAGAAGGTAGTCTTCCAAATAATGATAAGCCGCAAATCCGGTTTGGGGATTGTGCTCATCGAAGTAGGCGTACACTGGTTCGTCCTTCCAAGCCACCACATCAATACCTGTGCCAAGCTACATTTAGCCGACTCCTTCGCGAGGGGTCTGTTCTCCGGCCACTGTACCTGGTTGCATCTTGGAAGGAATGGTTCCTTCAACAAAATCATAAATATGATTGTCGCCTAGTTCATACCGAATGGCAGCTGTCTGGATCTCGAATATCTTTGATGTTGCAGAGTATCGATTAGCAGAAGGTCGCATGGAGCTGATATCGCTAGCTAGGGTCAATACTTACTCGGGAATTGGTACCCGCCCCATGTAGACTATCGAAATGTCAGCATCAAGAAAGTAAAGTTGACAGCAGCTTTCACAGCAGCATTACCAGAGAATGCGCATTCTGCAGGGTCTAAGACAATGTGAATAATGCTGAGGGTCCTTACCCTGAGCAAATGGACTGGCGCATCAATTTATCCCCGCGGACTTTGGGTCTCTGGCATTCTACGGAGGGCTGCACACATTCCTCTGTGAGCAAGATTCCGGACTAACACCTAGCTGCATGAATCTAGTACTCCTATCATATTTTAGGAACCCAACCAGTTCCAATAATATTCCGTCAACAAATTGCTTTTGCTGAATGGTCTTCAGACTATGCCTACATGCACGGGCATTTGTCAGGCCTCACTGACACACAGTCTTCCGGCCAAGAGCATCGATGGCGGGGCTATAAAGTTCGCCTTGGGAGCTAATATTCACTAGCCATCCTCTGGCCTTGCTCATGGCGGTGATCTTTGATGCTTGCCGAAAAAGGCCATTTGAGTAGGTGAAGCCCGAACTCAAGGATTTAGAGCTTACTAGATAAATGCCTTATAAAACCCTACCTTACCGGCTCTCCGTACCTCAAAATTATCCATATAGTATTGCATCAGAGATGAGCTGTTGGCTGTTGTCCATTTAAACGACGTTTAATATATCTTTATCATGGTAGCCTTTTCCGGAAAGAGGGCCCACGATGCCCCTGGGGAAAACATCCTCGCTCCTTTGGCGGTAGTGGGGATGTCTTTGAAGTTTCCGGAAGATGCTACATCCCCAGAAGCATTTTGGAAAATGCTGGTTGAAGGCCGATGTGTTTCTACGGAGTTTCCCAGCAATAGAATGAACATTGACGCCCATCACGACGCTGAACGAGGCCGACTCCATAGTATTTCTTGCCGAGGAGCGCACTTCCTGAAGGAGGACCTCGGTCTTTTCGACGCCCCATTCTTTGGGATTACTGATACTGATGCAAAGGCTATGGACCCCCAGCAGCGCCTTGCGTTAGAGACAGTTTACCGTGCGCTGGAGAATGCCGGGCTTCCGATCGAGCAAGTTGCAGGCTCAAAGACAAGCGTATTTGCGGGCTCCTTTTGTAGCGATTACCATATGCTACAGATAAAGGATCCGCTCAACGTGCCCAAGAATGCCACCGCAGGGACTGGTCGGAATATGATTGCGAATCGCATTAGCTGGTTCTATGACTTTTTAGGGCCTAGTGCAACTATTGATACCGCCTGCTCAAGCAGTCTGATGGCGGTGGATCTCGCCTGTCAATCGATATGGGGCGGAGATGCGGCAATGGTCCTTAAATCCCCTACGCTCTCCACCTCGGTCTAGAATAGATTTGCTAACCTCGGTTCGGTAGGGCGTCGCCATTGGCTGTAATATAATCCTGGCTCCAGAGATGACAATTGGCCTAGACAATCTTGGGTTGTTATCGAGAGATAGCCACTCCTATAGCTTCGATAAGAGAGCCAATGGATATGCCAGAGGAGAAGGTGTCGGTGCTGTGGTCATTAAGCGGCTTGATGACGCTATAGCAGATGGAGACTCCGTAAGGGCTGTCATTCGATCGTCCAGCTCGAATCAGGATGGAAGGACGCCTGGAATCCTGCAACCGAGCAAGGACGCACAGGTTCGTTTGATTCGGGACACCTATCAAAAGGCTGGTCTGGACATGGGGGTCACCAGATATTTCGAAGCACATGGAACGGGTAAGACGACACCCCACCTATCGCAGGGACGGATCAGTTGCTTAGTCTCTACTAGGAACACCCATTGGAGATCCTATTGAGGCTCGAGCTATTGGCACGGCATTTCGTTCCTATCGATCAGAGCAAGCGCCTCTACATGTGTATGTATCCGAGCTTCAACACAACATGGTGTCTAATTGGTTCATAGTGGTTCTGTCAAATCCAACATTGGCCATTTGGAAGGGGCAAGTGGGATTGCTGGCTTTATCAAAGCAGTCCTTGTGTTAGAGAAAGGTTTTATTCCACCGAATAGCAACAATCTGCAGCACATAAATCCTCAGATTGATGAGGACTATTTGAGGCTAAAAGTAAGGTTGTCATCGACTATAATAGTTTGTAAGCTAATGGCCATGGCAGATACTAAACAAAGCCATCGTCTGGCCTACTACTGGAATACGACGAGCATCAGTGAGCTCATTCGGCTTTGGTGGAGCCAATAGCCACATTGTGCTTGACGATGCTTACAATTCCCTTCAACTGGGTGGATTCGAGCAAGTTGGACACCAGACTGTGAGAGTGCCTTCATTGGGCCAGGTCAATGGCACGCCACAATTGAACGGCCACCACGATACCGGTGGTACGGATACGTTCAATGACTCCACAATTGCCTGCAAAACGGTTCCGAAACTGGTAGTATGGTCAGCTGCAGACCATGCAGGCATAAAACGTCTTGCAGAAAGCTGGAGCACGTATCTCTCCGATTTGTCAGTCGAAGAGACAGAAGAATACCTGAGAGATCTAGCACATACCTTATGTGATAGGCGAAGCCACTGGGCCTGGAGGACATTTGTTGTTGCTAAACCAGGGGTACTTCTACAAGATCTGACCAGACAGTTTTCCCCTGCTACTCAAAGCATTGACTCACCACACCTGGCATTTGTCTTCACTGGCGTAAGGATCCGTCAATGGCATAGTTCTATGGAATGCTGACATTGAACAGCAAGGCGCTCAATGGTACGCAATGGGGCGTGAGCTTATAGGTCACTATGAAGCTTTCACGAGGAGCCTTACCGAATCAGGCTCTTATTTCAAAGAACTTGGATGCACTTGGGATATATTAGGCGAGTAGAATGGTTATGTTTTTTGGAATATCTCTGACCTTCTTGAATAGAGGAACTACAAAAACCGGGACTGGATTCGAACGTAAATGACCCGTCTTACGGCCAGCCACTATGCACAGCACTGCAAATTGCATTGGTTGATCTCCTTGAAAGCTGGGGAGTTTCACCTGCTGCAGTGGTTGGCCATTCCTCTGGTGAAATTGCCGCGGCGTAAGTCCTCTGTTGTGTCTCATCGCTCATTATGTCTTGCTGACTTGCTTTGCAACCACAGATACTCTTCTGGCGCCTTAACAAAATGGTCTGCTCTAAAGGTTGCATACTTCAGAGGCTCTCTGGCGGGCGTCTTAGGCAGGTCTAGCAGCATAAAAGGAGCTATGCTTGCTGTAGGCCTGTCTAGAGAAAATACTCAGAAATACCTAGACGCACTTGAGCCCCAGTTCGAGAGGGTAGAAGCTGTTGTCGCTTGCGTCAATAGCCCCCAAAGCGTTACAATATCCGGGAAACTGGAGCAGATCGACGCACTGCATGACCTACTAGATCGGGATGGCGTATTTTCCCGCAAGCTGGCCGTTAATGTTGCCTACCACTCGTTCCAGATGCGTGAGATATCTGACAGATATTTCACTGCTCTTGGGGACCTGGAGGCACCGTGCAAGAGAAAGAGAAGACGGCCATTCATGGTGTCCTCAGTCACTGGGACCTTGGTTTCGAGCGAGCGGCTAGTGGAGCCGGAGTATTGGGTCACTAACATGGTCTCACCCGTGTTGTTCCACGATGCAATAAGCTATCTCTGCTCCCAGTCCGGCAAGACGTACAAGAAAATCGATGGGAGTCATCGCCATGCCATCACGATCAATCATCTCTTAGAGATTGGCCCACATTGTGCACTGCAGGGGCCGTGCCGGGATATTGTTAGCGTCTTGAAAAAGAGCGATAGAGTCACATACATTCCTTTAATGATACGCAACCGCTCTGCTCTGGAATGCGCCATGGAAGCTGCAGGACGTCTTCACTGCAGCGGATATCCGATCAAATTGGCGTTGGTCAATGATAATGGCGAGGCGAAGACTCAACGACGACCCCGTGTGCTAGTGGATCTGCCCGAATATCCCTTCAATCATTCTACATCGTACTGGCATGAGGGCCGGTTGAGCGAGGGATACAGATTCCGTCGATATGGCTATTTAGAGCTTCTTGGTACCCCCGAGCCCAATGGAAACCCAATGGAGGCCAGCTGGAGGAACATCATCCGTGTTTCTGATATGGCATGGGTGCAAGATCATAAGATCAATAACACTATTTTGTACCCAGGTGCCGGTATGCTGGTTATGGCGATTGAAGCTGTCAAGCAACTGGCTGAACCGGACCGACTCGTTATCGGCTTCATTATACGGGATGCTGTGTTCTCTACTGCCCTGCAGATTCCCACGCATGCGGAAGGAATAGAAGTCAATGTCCACCTGAAACGCACGAAGGAGGGGGAGGTCTGACGCCACAGGGTGGTATGAATGGCGCATATATTCATACGACAATGGCAACTGGGTGGAGAACAGCACAGGGTCCATCCAAGCTCTATATGAGAGCCGAAACACAGGCCTCGATGCTAACATTAGGGAAGAGAGAGCATGGGAAAGCCATCTTCTTGAGACCTACAACACTGTGGTTCGCTCATGTACTTCGACTGTTGATGCGAAGTCTTTTTATAAACATCTCAACAGCTGTGGATATCAGTACGGACCCGAATTTGCCGCAATAAAATCTATCGGTTACAGTGAAACGGACTGCAAAGCGCTCATCACGGGTATCCGCACATTCCAGCCTACTGGCGTTTATCCGGATCACACTATACATCCTACAACGCTAGACGCGATAATCCAGATGGCAGCCGGGCTGGAATCAAACATGGGCCAGAGTGTAGCCAGTGTGGCCGTACCAGTACGGATTGATCGGCTCTGGCTGTCTAACACAGGTGGTCTCAGCCATCCATTGGCAGATGCTGTCAGGGCGTATGCGGCTTGCAGTCAATCTGCTGTAGGGTATAAAAGTTACTCAATGACAGCAGTAGACGGAGAAGTCTCTAAAGCACTCCTGAATCTTGAAGGCTTGAAGGTGACGGCCATTGCCGGCTCGGAGACGACTCCTGTCTCGGATCCGTTCACGAAAGACAACCTATGCCACTACATAGCACATAAACCTGACATTGACCTCTTGACAATTGAAGAGGCTCAGAGACTGTATGGAGCCCACGAATCACAGGTCATAGAGCCAGTGGAGCACTTCACTGAGCTTGACTTTGTTGCAGCAGCTTCCGTCAGCAGGTATGCAGCCTCGTTCCGCGAAGAGGAAAGAGACAATATACCGCCTCACTTGAACAAATACATAGACTGGGCTCTGGAAGTCAAAAGAACCGTGGATCAGGGTTTATCCGAATTTAGCGCCAAAGAATGGATAGATCGCATGGGTGATGATGACTATGTCAGCGAGCTACATAGGCGAGTTGAGAGCGGCAGTAAAAGGGGCCAGTTAACAAGTACGGTATGCCGAAATTTGCCCGATTTCGTGAAAGATCCGCTTACCCATCTGTTCGGCAACAACCTGCTCGCGGAGGTATATCGTGAAATGGTAAGCAAGTCTGAGGTATTGTGGTCTGATGTTATTAACACGTTAGCCTATAGCTTTACGCCGATTCCATTAAACCACGGCTAGACAGGGTCATTGGCGCACTGGGACATAAAAACCCGCGGATGAAAATTCTAGAAGTGGGAGCTGGCACAGGAGCCATGACTGACTTCTGCATCAGGGCATTGAGCATGGACACCTCAACGGACGCAAGCCTGCGTCGTTATGGTCAGTGGGACTTTACCGATATTTCAAGTTCCTTTTTCCCAGGGGCACAGGAGATGTTCGCAGCAGAAGGGCAGCGTATGCGATTCAAAGTCCTTGATATTGAAAAGGACCCTGAGATACAGGGGTTTGAGTGTGGCACTTACGATATGGTTGTAGCGTTCATGGTAAGATCAGAGCGCGGACAGGTATGGGTCCTCACTAACGTTTCTAGGTAATTCATGCAACGAAGGACTTAGCTGTGAGCCTGCGCAATGTGCGTAAGCTATTGAAAGAGTAAGTGACTCTACCTTCACTTAAGATATGAGGCCCGGCTAATATGAGTCTAGGGGTGGAAAGCTTCTACTGTTCGAAATCACTCACTTTCACCCACTCAGGGTCAATCTTATATTTGGTTTGCTTGACGGGTGGTGGAGAAGTATGTCACCCTGTACCTGCGTGCTTATTTCTACTGACCCCAGTAGGCACGGAAACATACCGCCAAACGAGTCCCTGTATCAGCTCCGAGAAGTGGGGAGAGCTTCTAAAGGAGACAGGCTTCTCAGGGTGCGATCTTGTAGTCGATGATTACGACGCCGATATCTGCCGTGAAGGAAGCATGATTGTGTCGACAGCCGTCGCTCCAAGCCCCGTTGAAATCACGACGGTGAACATAATCATCCAAACGGAAGACCAGACACAGGCTGATCTGGCCGCGGCAATATCTGGTCGGCTCCAGCAGCTCGGAATTTCGAAGATCACCCTGACATCCTTGACTGACATGGCGCAGCGGAAGTTATCGACGGACTTGCTGGACATTAGCCTTCTGGAATCGACAACCCCTTTTATATGCGACATGGATAGTTCGGAATATGAAGGCTTGCAGGCGCTGGTAGCATCTACCAAGAGCCTCATCTGGGTTGGTGAGGGCGGAGGGCGGCAGCCTCATCCCAAGTACCGACTAGTCGACGGGCTCTTTAGGGTTCTTAGTGGAGAAATGTACCGGGCTCGACTGACAAACTTGTCTCTTGAGCGTCACTCTTCAAGGAAGCATAAAGCTGCGCAGATTTGCAAGCTAGTCTTCTCTTCCATTGGTGATATGGATAGGAGTGCAGACACGGAATACACCGAAATTGATGGAGTACTTCACGTCAGTCGCCTAGTAGATGCTAGGTCACTGTCCCAAGGGGTGGTGAGAAAGGCTCTTCCACAGCAGGAGGGCCTGTTACCGTATGGTTCAGGGCCGTCGTTGAGATTGAGTATCGGCTCGCCTGGTCTTCTGAACACGTTGCATTTCGTCGAGGACAGGTCCTTGCAAAAGCAACTTGGACCCAGAGATATAAAAATCAAGGTCAAAGCGGTGGGCCTGAATTTCCGCGATGTTCTTGTTGCACTAGGAAGGTTAGAGAGTGATACTCTCGGGGCAGAGTTTGCTGGCGAAGTTGTCCAGGTTGGGGATCAATGCCAGAAATTCCAGCCCGGCGACAGAGTAGTCGCTTTTCATGCCAGTCGCTATGCTAACTATGTTACTGTGCGAGAGGACATGCCCGTCGTTGGGATCCGGAACGAGAAGATGCTATTTACGACGGCTGCTGCTATCCCCGTAGCTTATGCAACGGCGTGGATAACTCTTACCAAGATAGCAGGGCTTCAAGCAGGAGAATCTATACTAATTCACTCTGGGGCAGGCGGTACAGGACAGGCTGCTATACAGGTTGCCCGATATCTAGGAGCGACAGTATTCGCGACCGTCTCAACCGACGAGAAGAGGCAGCTTCTGATGGACCGCTATAACATCCCAACGGAGCATATTTTCTCTAGTCGGAACACACTATTCGCGAAGGGTATCCGGCGGTTGACGACTGACAGAGGCGTTGATGTTGTTTTGAATTCGCTCTCAGGTGACGGGCTTATTGCCTCGTGGGAATGCATTGCACCGTACGGTCGGTTCGTGGAGATCGGCAAGAACGATATCTTGTCTAACTCCAAACTGCCAATGCTGCAGTTCGAGCGAAACGTGAGCTTCACGGCTATTGACCTTGCTGAGATGGCGATCGACAGGCCGCATATAATCAGAGCAGCTTTGGAGACAGTATTCTCCCTACTTGAAGAAGGCAAACTAGACCTGGTTTATCCTTTGCAGATCCGAGGCATTGCAGATATTGAACAGGCATTCAGGCAGATGCAGACTGGAAAGAACTCGGGCAAGACTGTGCTGGAGATGAGGGAAACGGACCAAGTCATGGTAAGTCATGCTTTCAGGGTAGAATCAGCATATGCTAATTTACGCAGACGGTCCTTGACACGAAGCCTTCATACACATTCGGGCCTGATGCGACATATGTTATTGCTGGCGGCCTGGGTGGGCTTGGTCGAAGTATTGCCCGTTGGCTTGTTGAGCGGGGAGCGCGTAACTTGATACTGCTCTCGCGCTCTGGTCCGGAAAGCCCGCACGCCAGAAGCTTGGTCGAAGAGTTGCACGAACGAGGCGCGCGAGCCATTACTCCTGCATGTGATATCACAAACAGAGAACTACTGAAGACAGTTCTCGATGTCTGCAGCCAGCTGATGCCTCCGATTAAGGGATGTGTGCAGGCATCAATGGTCGTTCGCGTAAGCTCTCCCAGCAAGTACCCTTGCCTCGAGCAACGCATGAAAACTAACTCTATGCAATGTATAGGCCCATAACTTCGAAAGCCTACCCTACCAATCCTGGAAGGAGACCACGGCACCCAAGGTTCAGGGATCATGGTACCTACACGAGCTTCTCCCACGAGGCATGGACTTTTTCGTTCTCATGTCCTCCGTCTCCGGCATCATGGGAGTAGTCAGTGACTCCGGGTACGCAGCAGGCAACACATTCGAGGACGGACTAGCGAGATACCGAGTCGGACTCGGTGAAAAGGCCGTTTCGCTAGACTTAGGACTCTTCCTAACAGCAGGATACCTCAAGGAGAACCCCGAGAGCCGAGAGCAATTCCTTGCCAACACAGTTCTTGACGAAATACAAGAATCCCATCTACACGCTCTACTAGACACATACTGCGACTCCACTCAAGGCCCGATCTCCATGCAGGAGAGCCAAGTGGTCGTAGGCATCACACCCAGCAGGCAGAAACTGGAAACGCGCAAGGCCGAATGGCTCGACCGCCCACTCTTCCGACATTTATCTCTGACTGACGGCCGCACAGAAGGCAGAGGGAGCTCCGAAGACTCCAACCTGGCAGCCCTGTTTGCGGGGGCGTCGTCAACAGAGGAGGCCGCAGCGATCGCCATGCGCGCAACACGGGAGAAGCTCTCAATCATGATGTCGACGCCGGTGGACGAGATCGACACGGACAAGCCCTTTCATCAATACGGAGTGGATTCGCTGGCGGGGGTGGAGCTGCGGAATTGGTTTGCGCGCGAGCTGCGGGCGGACCTGGCCATGTTTGACATCCTGGGTGGTGCGAGCCTTGCATCGGTGGTAACATTGGCAGTGGGGAAGAGCGAATACCGACGATGATCGTCGGGCGTGATGAGTTGTGGAATTTGAGGGGGGTTTTTGGTTGCACTGCAGGGGATAGTCGGGTATTCATTCTCGGATTTCTGCATCGGGTTTTGCTACGACGGCAATTGACGGATATTGAGTTTCCGTTTTGGGAAGGCAACCAGTATACCGCGAGTATAGAAGTAGACTGATTGAATCACTTCAACTCACCTATAATCAACCAAGTTGACTTTCCAAATCCTCTTTCTCTCCATATACCCACCTCAATAATCAAATATTCAACATGCCCAAACCTAGAGTCCTCCATATCGGCGACCCGATCAAATACAACCACGACGTGTACGCGCGCTTTGCTTCACAATTCGACATCATCCGACCCAGCACCGAAGAACGAGCCCGTGATGCCTTCAAACAAGCCCTCCAGGAGCGCCGCTGGGGCGACTTTGACGCCATCTTTCGTCCCTTTTGGAACACGGGCGGCGAAATGGGCCGCTGGGACGAAGAACTGATCTCGTTGCTGCCTTCCTCCGTCAAGATTGTTGCCTCGGCAGGCGCAGGCTACGACTGGGCAGATGTAGACGTCTTTGCTAAATATGGTACATCCATCTGCCTTCTCCTTTCCATCCTCATTCTTTCCTCCCTCTGCCTCAGCGGAATACTCATACAAGTTGGTGACATGAACAGGAATCCTCTACTGCAACGGCGCCGCGGCCTCCTCGGAATCCGTCGCCGACATGGCCCTACTCCTCATCCTCAGCGTATTCCGTAACCTGCGGTGGTCACATAGCGCCGCGCACAGCATCAACGCTACGCAATTCCTCGACGCGCATACGAACTCGCCCCTCACGGCGCGGAATCCCAGTACACAGGTGCTTGGTATCATCGGGCTAGGGCAGATCGGGTACACGATTGCGCGGAAAGTGCACGCTGCGTTTGGGATGAAGATTCTCTATCATGATATTATCCGGAAGGATCGCGGGGTGGAGGAGAAGGTTGGGGCAGAGTACGTGGGTAAGTTGGAGGAGATGTTGGGGAAGGTGGATTGTGTGGTTGTGGCGACGCCGTTCGCGGGACGGGTGTTGATGGATAGGGAGATGTTCGGAAAGATGAAGCAGGGGAGTCGGTTTGTGAATGTTGCCAGGGGAGGACTTGTGGATGAGGAGGCGTTGGTAGAGGCTGTTGAGAGTGGGAGGTTGAGTGGGGTGGGGATGGATGTGCATGCTAATGAGCCGTATGTGCATCCGAGGTTGGCGGGTAATGCGAGGGTTATGATGATGAGCCATAATGCGGGAGGCACGGTGGATACGCACATTGGGTTTGAGAGGTTGGCGATGGAGAACATCGAGGGGTTTTTGGTGAAGGGGAGGGCGTTGACGCCGGTGAATGCGCATTTGTTCAAGCAGAGTAAGTTGTAATTGGTTATACTATTAGTGATTGGTTGGGATAAAATATATATGATCTGAATCAATCTCAGGTACAACAGTAGAAAGAAACCAGGTTTGTCCAGCCAGCATGGGAATATTAGACTTGGTTGAAGGGCAAATCAAGCACGGAAGTCCGAAAACTACCAAGAAAAGGTCTCCTCGTAAAAATCCACCTTCTTACTCCCTTGCTTCTCCCTCACCACCTGGCGCACATCGTCACCCATTTCCCCTGGCCCGCAAACACTGACAGCCATTGCGCCGACCTGGTGTGCCATCTCGACCTCCAGAGTCTCCTGGAAGCATGGCCTGCCGTTGTTGATACTTATCGCCACTCCTGTCGGTGCAGAAATGGCCCAGGGCGACTCGGAAGGCGTGTAATCTTCGGGGCTGGAGTCGCGTGTGCTGAGGTAGATCTTGATTGACAGGGAGAGCCGGGAAAATTCAATAAAAGACTCCTGCTTTGGCACGTTCGGCCCTTGCAGGCCGGGGTGACTGAAAAGGGATATCATCCAGGGCTGAACCCAGGACAGATGGTCTAGTAAGGAGTAAGTTACAGCTACTTGGACCTTTTCTGTGTCGACTCACCTAAGCTGCGCACAACCCAGACGAGGGTGACTCTCCGGACAGCGGTCGACCGGGATGCAAATCTGTTCACGATCTCGAGAAGGTAGGCAACTGGGTGCGTGATACCAATTCCTCCCGCAACCAGAAGCACCGATCCGTATGAATCAAGTGACTCCAGGCCACCTGCTCCTGTTAGATACGACCTGAGATACGCATGGAAGAGGCTTACCGTATGGCCCTTCAGCAAGCGTGATCGCATCAAATCTCCGCTCGGGCGAGTTGCCCGCCTTTCGTACCAACTTACTAGTGAGTCCACCACGTCCTTTGACCAGGAAAGATACCGTCGTCTCATGCGACCCTCCTACTGCGCGATCGAGGGAGTCGTTGGAGGAATTGGAGGAGCTCTTCTCAATCACACTTGTTCCGTCTTTTGAGGTCCAGGCTACCGAGAACGGGTGGGAAGTCCACAAACCCACTGTGGGCATATACAGGTACGCATATTGGCCTGCCTTGAATCTCCATGGCCGTGCCACGGTGACGTTGACGCGTGCCACATCACCAGGGAGCAACTCTACGGTAGCCTTGGTGCATCGCGTGCCGAAATTACGCCACATCACACATGCCAGCCGAGTCGCTCTCTGAAAGCCATTAGCCATACTCAATAAAATGTGACATTATGGAATGGACCGTCTCTCATCATTTCGAAGGAAACAGGATGCTTACATCGAAACCCCAGAGAACCACTGTGACAAGCATGGCATACTGCTGTGACATGCCATCCAGGTGGTACCATAAGCCCACGAATGCCATGATGGCCAATGCGATATGGGAGTGGAGGAATGCTTCATAGAATGCATGTCTGACTGGCGACAAGGACTGGAAGAGGATCGTCGTGAACGCAAAGATAGCCTACGTTCATCGAATTGGTCAGCGATGAGGGCTTCAGCCCATTGTAGCGAGAAACAAAAACATACAACCAAGCCGCAGACGAAGAATTTAGTAGTCCAGATGAGATGTGTGGCCGCAACCAAGCCGCCCTCTGTCGACCGTCAGCTTTTTTTCATCTTCGCCTGAATGGCACAAGCATACTTACCTTCGGACACTTTCATTATAACAGCAGCAATCATATGGACAAGCCCCGAAAAGATGATGGTCCGACCAACCCAACGATGCATGAGATTGAAGCAGTCGAACTTGATTCCCAGAAGAGGCACCAAAGGATTATTGCGGCCTGCTGCCAAAACCAGCCCCGGCAAGTTCAACACCGCCATACTACCTGCCGAATATTGAAATTCGAAGATCACTTCATCCCAGTCTTTCCACCAGTCAACCATAACAAAGAAGAAGACAATGTTGATTGCTATGTAGACGGCTAGCAGAGCTGCTTCAAACCGCAGCGGGAGGATACCCATATGGATGTTGTTACCAAGTTTCAAGTAGCGACTATGGCGAATGGATAAGATGGGCGCATGAAATACATGCTTGTATAGAATGGTAGAAATGGTGCTCCTTCGTTTGAATCGACCTTGCTTATCGGTTCGTAGAATTTCGCGTAAACGTCGGCGATGGCCAAGTCGTATTAGCGTACGGCCAACGAACAGAACGAACAAGGCTCCCGCGAGAATGAACATGGGCGTGGCCAACGCTACATTCATCGGCGGATGGTAGTCTATCTGTCGGGCCTCCCCGGGCTGTAGATGATCTACCCCCATTGTGTCTGTGCCTTGAGGCTACCTGCGTAGGCGTAAAAGTTTTGGACTTGGTTCAGCGTTGATATCTCTATCTGGTTGACGGGAGCGCGCGTGCTCAGAAAGCAAGAGAATTGGAAGAGACCAAGTCATGCCAACAGGGTATCCAGCGGCCAGCTACATATATGACAAGTCGGGCCTACTATATACATGGTTCCGATCGTGGCGTCCCGAAGCGACTCCCGAGCATTTCTTCGATGCCGTCATGTAACCGGATTGGGGCTTCGGAGGTCATCCTTCAATTGGGCCGGCAAGCCTCCAGTGTGTCGTGCTCCCGGAATATCGGCGCATCCAGACACTACATCTCAGCTTCCACATGTATCAGACGATTGCAACCTAAAAGAGTGGGGGGCTGGGGATCCGCGGAAGCGTGCCTGAAAACCGTCTATCTCGGTGAGAGGCACACGAGAGCCCGTCTAGCATGGCAAGCTTCGATCTCAGGTAAAGTGACCAAGGAAAAGCGGGGCCTTCAGATTTGGCTTCCGTTAAGCTTTCTTCAACGTGTGGCCAATCAGTCGTTGGTCTGCCGTGCAATGGAATGGCACTGCCGGAAACGGAAAGAAGGAAGTGGATGCAGCTGCAGCGTCCACCAGACACGAATAGTAGTCTTCGTTCGAGATCCGGTGGAGAACAATATTGTTGCATTCGCCCGTCCGTCTAACTGGTTTACAAATACATGACTTGGTGATGATGTAAGATCAGGGCGTGGGTGGTGTTGGATCCCGGCCCAAAATGAGTTGAGTTGAGCAGCTCAGCTGGTGCGCCGAGTAGGGCATCCAGGAACACTCTTGCTTGCGCGACCAATAGATAATCTGTTATCGAATGCATCCAAAACACAACTGCATGCTGAAAAGTTTGGCCATGCTTGACAGAGACATCTGCAATTCCAACTTCCCGATATAGGGCAGTCCAGAAAATTGACGTCATGGACTGGCTGGTTCCCCGTGGAGAGCATGATTGACAAGGGGAGAGGCGGGAATCTATGATCGCTTGAATGCCTGGAGAACCCGAGATAATGGTTGCATTCCGACCGATAACCGTCGGGCATTGAAGCTCGAGCTGGGCCGGTTGCAACAACGCAATCTTGGGACTGTCTCACTCACTCAGGGCTGGCGCCGAAAGTACCTGATTAGGTCATCACTGAGGCTTGTCGAGGCCCCTATCGACCATTCCAATGCCACCATAATTTCCACCATGCCATGAGATCTTGGTGTTCTAGCCAGGTCAATTGTCACCTGCCCGTGAAAAAGATACATACAATATCTGGCTCTTGGGCAATATGCGACGTGAGAAAGGGAAGACGTGGCGCAGTGCAGCCGTGAAATGCATATCTGGCAGATTGACAGACTGCCCTGTCTGAACCTTGACTGAAAGTTTGCCGGCTTAATGCCCGCAAGTTTAATGTTCTTACAAGGCTGGATCAGGCACGGGACCAAATGGTGCACCCCGCGTGGTCGGGGGACTGCCAAAGTCTATTCCATTGCCTAGCATTCGTTCGTCGAGAGTTCTAGCCGAAAGCAAAAATGATCCTGGTCGAGCCTGAGACATTGCCAGGGGTGAGTAACAGGCCTGAGACATGGCCCAGGAGAAATCCGACGAACATGAGACATCCCCTAGGGGAACCGTGACACAACTGAGACAGGCACCATCTTCAGTCACGGAATACGCATGCATACATATAAGATGACTGGAAAATCAAAACATGCGCGGAAGTAGAGAATCCAGCCCCCTGGGTCACATTGAATACAATTAATGCAAGACATATTAGAAATTACAGACAGATGGCGACAAAAGTCTCAAACATCTATTTTCGTTCCATTCCGGAAGCTGAGGGAGGATAATTGAACAGACCAGTGTCACAAACCAGGCACGCCTTTGACCAAAGCAACAAGAAACGAGGATAGGCTGCACATCAGTGATTGTGCGGCCCAGTCACACACACAATAAAACGCCTATGAAGTATTGTAAAATAATAAAAAAAAGAAAAAAAGAAAAGAAAAAAAGAAAAAGAAAAGTACACTTAGTAAGACGATTCCAACTTAGTCATGTCATTAAAGGGAACGTAACCGTGATATCTCAGAAAGTCTGTATCCGGGTGGGGAAATTTGTCGTAAGATTATGGAACTGCTGGGCTCCAGGCTGCAGTCAGTCGCTGTCATCGAGACCGGAAGTACCAAAAGTTGAAAAACCTGTCTTTGTTTTCTCTTCTCTGTTTTGAGCCATCTAATCTATGCGTTCTCACGACCTTCTCGGGTACTTTTTCTTCTTTTTGTCTTTTAATTGTTTCGACTTGATCTTCTCCTCCTGGATACAAGAGTAGTCGGCCACGTCGACCCCGGCACTATGGCATAGCGAGGTGCATTCGGTTTCGATGACCTTGACAAGTTGAGAAGTGAAACCGTAGAAAGCAGGATTGTATGCATTCCGCGCCCAGTACATGAGTTCGGATGCTACACGACCCAAATTCGGAATGGATTGCGGCAAAATCTCGGGCTTCTGCGACAGGCGTGGCTTGTCATTCCCCTCTTCGTCAGAGGAAACCGAAGACGACGGGGTGGAGCTGCGCGATACAGGCGAAGATGGCGATGAGGACTCGGAAGACGACAGATAGTCGGTGTCAGAAGCTAAGACATGGAGCAAATGGTACACAGACGCAAACCCAAGAAGCGTCAGATCCACCGGGTCAAGCGGCAACTGATTGAACCACGTAACAGCTCTTTGGATGGTAAAGGACGCCGGTAGAGAGGTGTCGCCTGTAGTCCTAGCGGTAAAAATGGCCGCAATCATTGCACAGCGAACTGATATCGCGATCTCTTCCCGCACAGACACGGGAAGAGACGAGTCAAGGAAGTTGGATGCTTGGTTTTGTTTGCTCTTCCCTTTGTCTTTCGGCAATGCCGCAAGGACGGATCCGATATTCGCAGCGCGGTCTTGCTCGAAGAATACTGCCTTCATCACCAAAGCTCGAGTATGAGCGGCTGAAGGCTGGGGAGCGACGTCCAGGGCCAATTTAATCTTAGCCTTGAATAGATCGCGACTCTTCTTTGCGTCAGGCCCACCAGAGCTAGCTTCGAAATATCTCAGCAGCGCCCGTTGCAAAAGATGGCTAGACCACCAAGCCGCAAGGGCATCCAGGGAAGATTGAATGGCAGGGTCCTCTTCCACCACATCCAGGAGAGCTTGATCATCATCGGTACCTTCTTGAGTGGGACGATTCCAAGTGAGGTTTGCCGCTCTTTGCACGATGCTGTCAATCATGACCTCGTCGCAGTCCAGTTGTAACAACGCAGCCAGATGACTAGGCAGGGCATCAGGATGGTCTTTCGGCATAGCCTTGTGCATTTTCCGGGCGAGGTCCCATTGATACCTTGCCAGTGAACGAGCGACATCATTCGACAAGTCGAAGCTCCAAGAGCCGCGGTCCCCAACTCTCCAGAGCAGAATGCGGCAGTGGAGGGCTTTGAGCATCATCCTCATAGGACTCCGAGGCAGGGTGCCTGCCGCAAAGATAGTCAGGACTAGACGACTCTTACTAATTTCGGCATCACCACCAGCCAATTGTGCGTCGATTGCAATATCCCAGGTCTTGACTCGCCCCTTCTCGTCCTCCTCGGTAACTCCTGTAAGAGAAGAGTACAGTTTCCAGCCCAGGAGACACCGCAGGACATACTCGAAGCAGCGCGAGGTCACTACGTACCACTCGTGGAAAAAGCGGTGACGTGGAACACCGACTCGCTGTATGCTCGTCAGCCAGGCCTGGCGCCGGAAATTTGACGATGTATCCGATGGTGACGAAGTCTTCAATGAAGAGGACTGTTCGCCGGGGGTAGCGTTGAACAAATAAACGAAGACCACGAATGCACTACCGACGACAAGGGTAGCGAGAATAAGAAAATGCGAGATGGCTCGTGCATGCCACGAATACCAAAAGTTTCGTGCCATTGCAAACCAGTATGCTGCTGTGGGACTTTGGAGGCTGGTTTGCAAGTTTCCGAACAGGTTGAATGGCATTGCCAGCAGCCCCTTGGCGGTTGATTCCGTGTTCTTTTCGCTGCCCATACCCTCGACGATCATTAAGCCAGCAAGGGCACCAAGCATGTACTTGTTGGGGTAATATGATCGCCTGGTACGACCACCGCATGGGGATGAGACACTGTTATTGCTGCTGGGGTATTGGATGTATGATTGAGAGAACGCGTTATCTTTAGCGGTGGATTCCTCTCGCATGCGTTTGAAGGCATCGGGCACCTTCAGCAGACCTTCGGGAGGATACAAAGACGTCGGCGAGTGGTCGCTAGGACTATCCTCCACATGTGAGAACACACTGGGGGATGAGCTTGCGCCAGATTCTGTGGAAACGGTGTAGTTGCTGGGTGAGGAAACGGACGCTGCGGAGGTCAGTGACTGGTCAACGGCCTTTTCCGCTTGACGAAGTCGGTTCTTCAATGCCATGTTCTCATCCTCAAGTCGCTTATTACGGATCTCAAGGTGACGAATATACTCTGTGGCTTTTGAGAGAATAGAGGCCTTGTTCAACTTGTTGGCGGGAGTGACCCCTTCTCCATCGTCATCATCCAGGAGATTACCCGACGCATTTTTTGACGCTCGGAGACTGGGCACACTGTCCCTCAGCTCGGCAATCTTCTCATTAAGGTTGGCTCGATACCTCTTCTCGATGACGTTGTGTGCTCGCTTTTTGGCCGGCATCTTCTTACCGGTCGGCATGACTCCACTGACGGTTGAGCCATCATCATCACTGCCCGACTTGCGTTTGCGAGCAGTTCCTTCCGAGGATACCGGAGAGCCGGACGTAGCGGAGAGTGCCGACTGGAGATCGGTACCAATGGATCCGATCTTCGATTGGCACACGCCACTGTAATTTTGATCGAGCAAGGAATCAAAGGGAATATTGGTACAATCCAGGTTGATGTCGGGTGAGAAGTCGGACTTTTGAAAGAGATCTGTGTTGCCAATTGACGCATTGGGCGAGGTGAAGGTAGTATCGAAGGGGGAGTGAGAGACGTCTTTTGCCCCATCCGCAAAGCCCTTGTCATCCCATCTCATCCACTGCGTCCAATCCTGACTGGAATCTTCCGTTGTAGACTGAGCGAAGGTCGTAGACTCGGCCTGTGAGTCTCTTCTATCCGACGACTGGAGGGGAGAGAATAGCTGAAAGTCGCTCCCCATGGTGGGCAGTGCCATTTCGTCCAGCGGCCAAGGCCGGGACCGCAATTGATAACGTCAGTGCCCTGCGGCGAGTCGCACGGAGGTGAATTCCCGGCTAACGTTTAGTTGGTTAGTGACAAGGAGACGGATATGAACAAGATATTATTCATTGAGCAAAGTGGTCGTCAGGAGGCTGGTTGGTCTATGGAGAGAGAGGCAGGCATACCTGAGGGGGAAAGGTCAGGAGCGATGCGGCTAGTTGCGGGTTCAAGTCACCGGCGAGGTTATCACCCACCTCAACCAGACGCGCTAACGAGACTAGATGATGAACAGTGGAGTCCGGCTCAGGGACAAGCAGGCGGGCAGTAATTGAGGGTGATTGTGGATAGATGGATGATGTTGCTGGGTTGGTTGAGATACTTCAGCCTGGTTGATGATCTGTCCAGGCGATGCAGGTAGAGTAAGGTAAGAGAGAAGGTTTGACGCTGACAGGGTTGTCGTGGCTCCGGAGACGACCGTGGCAGGGCAGGCAAGGTACGTTTTAGATCTTATCGAACCGTTGGGCGGTTGAGGGCGCGGCCACTGACTGGATGAGCGGCTCTCCGTCCCGGCGGAGCAGATTTTGACTTCTTGCTAATGCTAAACAGAGGCTAAAATGAGAGAGGGGCGCATGTACTTGCAAAGACCATCCCCCCAGTGCTGTCCCACGGCGGCAAATGATTCAAAGATGAGCTGGATGACAAGAGGGATGATGTAGCAGAGGGGTCCGAGGGATAGTAGGTGGGCAGCCCGTCCAAATCACAAGCGACCGAGAAAGGAAAAGCGAAAGGCGTGGACGACTGAATGAACTCCATCCCCAATTGCGCTGCCTGAAGGCAAAGGCGGGCGGTGATCCTCGGCCAAGACTCGGTGGTGGGCGTCGTATGATCGCGGGAGACGGCGCTTCCGGCAAACCGAGCCAGACTCTTTCAGTCACTTCATCGAGTGGCGCCAGATGTACGGGAGTGAGTAAGGAAGGTGTTTCTATATTACCATCACGTGGTGAAAAGTGCTATAGTAGCGGGGGTAGCACGTATTGTATGTATGGTTAGATGGTGTATCCGTACCTTCCGCCTACTTAATCAGCCAATGAGGCTGCGGCAAAACTAAAAATAACATGCCTCGGGGTCCCACTTACTCACTCTCCAATGTCTTGGGTACGGTAAGGACGGTCTAGCGATGCAGCTAGCTGGATGCAAGAGGTGCATACAGCTACTATACCTCTGCTTTATTTCCTAGAATCTTCTCCAGATAAAAGAATTGAGCTTACTTATTAGCCTTTCATCGTTTGACTGGGAGATGTGGCTCTCCAGATACTCGGCTAGAGACGGTACTGCTTGTCTGCTAGTCGACTATATATCCTGATGCGCAGCACTGGTGGGCCTCCCTTTACCTGAAAGGAGATTCACAGGAAACATGTGCAAAGTGCTATGCACTGGAGGCTTGAAGACGACCTTCGATGCTGCTTTTACTATTGTTATTGTGTACATACTAATTAAAATCTTCTAGTTCTGTCGCAAAACGTCTCAATAGGCGTCCTCGAAGGCTCCTGAGATAAACCCGCGCCAGGCGTCACAGTATGCAGATTCATTCTCTATGCCCGTGCGTCGAAGAGTTTCCACCAGACAGATATCCGCCTCTCAGCAGTCCGGACTATTTCCAGAATGACCAAGCAAAGCGAGGAGGGTATGATTGCGATGGATGAAATTACATTGATGGGCATTTTTTAGATGACGTATTTGGACACAAACTAAGTTCCATCCTTTAGGGTGACACTAATAGGGAATTCAGGGAATTCAACACTTGTCTGAGTGATTGGTGTCACAGGAGAATCAGGGCATGGGCAGAGTTGCATAATGCATGGGCGTAAAGCACTTAGGCAAAGGAAACCTTTTCCGGCGAGATGCCATTGAGGGAAGTTGTATGCGCGCTAAGCATCGACCTTTCCTCCTGACTGCAACCATCGAGCTGCGCAATACGATCCTAAAGGCTGAGGTTATTCAATTCGAGGTAGCCCGGTGTCTATCTGACACTCGAAGCGGTGCTGAAAGATGACGGGATTCCACTGCGCCCGCCCTGCCCATCATATCAGAGAACATTTCCATCAGTCTCTCTAGTCGCTCCACCATGACTTATCCTTTAGCAGGATCATGCACTCTAGCAAATGGAGTCTGTAATTCTTTGACCACGGACTCGTGGTTGGTCCTTAACTACATGTTCAGCCGAGTAACTATAACGGAAAGTCTGTCGAGGTAGGTTACTACATATCATACTGAAAACTTTGTTTTTTCGGCAATCCAGGTGAATCCCTTCTTGCAATTTTTGCATTTTGGCCGAGGAAAATAATATTGACTGTTGGAAAAGTGCCAACAGAGAGTGAGTTGATCATATTCAACGATGAAAAATGACGATCGGTCTTCGCGGTTCCCGTTATCTCTCAACTTTCCCCACACCCATCAGTGGAGGATGGGTCAACCTGGAAGCCTAAAAGTCCACTAGTCTGGTAAAATTTGATACGAGTTCATAGATCATAACAGTATCTCTATAGAGCTTTCACTCCGCATAGATGATGTTTGGGGTTTTTTGATAGCCTCACTACGTTGACCAGTGAGTGTCTTCCCCTTGTCACGAAGGGAGTCAGACCAAGATTGTATCGCTACACATTGCCCGACAGAGTTAATCTTGTGAACTGCAGCTTCAAAGTCAATGAATCCTGCATGGCAGCGGGGTTGCGCGGCCCCGCTCTTCCCAACCCCGCATATATTTCCCAATACGCCGAGGGAGATATGTCGCCCTTGACTCTTGGGCATGGCCTGAATATTCTCAAGATGACTCTATAGTCTCCTTCCAACCCAGATAACTTGATCCAAGTTTCAAAGACGTATTTTTGGACAAAAACCATCTCCACGGATAATATGAAGTTGCAACTTCCTAACCGAGGCGTCTATACTGACCCGGAACATAATCTTTTCATCAAGGAGGCAGAACCTACCCTCGATCAGATAATCGATGGATCAAGCTTAGCAGAGGGAGAGGTCACAGTAGCAATCAAGTGCAGTGGGATTTGCGGGTAAACCGTTGTCGCACAAATTCCATCCATCCATGATGAGAGCTAATCATAGCGATTAAGTTCGGACGTGCATTTCTGGAAACATGGTGGAATCGGTCCGTGGGTGGTAAACGATGCGCATATCTTGGGGCATGAGTCTGCAGGCCTCGTCGTCAAGGTCCACCCTTCTGTCACGACACTCGCAGTGGGAGATCGCGTCGCGATCGAACCTCACATTGTATGCAAGGCATGCGAACCGTGTCTTACCGGACGCTACAATGGGTGCAAGAATCTGCAATTCCGCTCAAGTCCACCATCGCATGGTCTCCTGCGGACCTACGTGAACCATCCAGCCATCTGGTGCCACACAATCGGCGATCTATCATATCAGAAAGGCGCCTTGTTGGAGCCACTAAGTGTCGCACTCACCGCAGTTACTCGATCTGGGGTCAGAATTGGAGATCCGGTTTTGATTTGTGGCGCGGGACCGATTGGGTTGGTGGTGCTGCAATGCTGCCGCGCTGCTGGGGCGTATCCCACTGTGATCAGCGATGTTAACCCGGCGCGGTTGCAATTTGCGCGACAGTTCGTGCCTGCTGCTCGAACACTGCAGGTTCGGCCGGAGGAGACCGACAAGGAATTTGCAGCTCGGGTGGTGCAGTTGATGGGTGGGGAGGATTGCGAGCCCGTGGTTGCCCTGGAATGCACGGGAGTCGAAAGTTCGATCGCCGGTGCTATTCAGAGTGTCAAGTTTGGGGGCAAAGTGTTTGTGGTTGGCGTGGGCAAGGATAAGCTTCAGTTTCCATTCATGCGACTGAGCGAGCGCGAGATCGATCTGCAGTTCCAGCAGCGCTATGTCAACATGTGGCCCCGCGCCATCCGGGTGATGTCCAGCGGAGCCATCGATCTAGACCAGATGATCACTCATGTCTATGCCTTTGAAGACGCTCTCAAGGCGTTTCAGACGGCGTCAGATCCGAGTAGCGGCTCAATTAAGGTGCTGATTGAGGGGCCACAAGGATGAGAGATGGCGGATATTGGACAGTGAAGCCATGACTGTTATAAGGTATAGCAGAACAGAACATGTATCTTGTCAACGAATTGATTGATTTCAGCACGGAAATGTTCAAGGCATGGAACAATTGCTTCTGACCCGGAACCGCGGATTGCAAGGATGGATATGTGGATCAGATGGTGTGAAGAAGATCTGTCTGTTAGCATACTTCATAAGTTCCAAGGAGGAGTAAATGTGGAGTCATAAGAGTAATATCGAATATCATAGAATGGGGTTGTCTTGCTAACGGTGAATCGGACTCCGTCGGCTCTGCCAGCGATCGGCAGGTCACGCGTCTGCGTAACTTGGTACTTATCTTCCCAGTCACCTAAGCACTGTTACTCCACTCTTCTCTCTTTGACGATAAGAAGATAGCAGAGACTCTTGATAAAAAGGGTTGGGAGCATGCTTTGAATTTCTTCACTCCGAGAGCTTTCTGTCCCCATCTGGTCTCTTGTTGTCCCCGATGTACTACTCTCTCTGGGTTGCTGCCTTGGTGGCCGCGCTGCCCGTCTCCCGGGCCCAGTTTGTGGCTCCGCCCACGGATCTCATTCCCACCAAGGGATATCTCGACATCCCCGTCCGCTACAAACAGGTCCCCACCGGCATTTGTGAGACTGATCCCAGTGTCAAGAGCTTCTCCGGTTACGTCGATGTCGCTGAGCATGAGCACATCTTCTTCTGGTTCTTCGAGGCGCGCAACCAAGATCCCACCGAGGCTCCCTTGACCGTCTGGATCAATGGAGGCATGTCTGACCCCGGTCATTATTTCCTTCCAATTGCTAACCGTTCGTAGGTCCTGGTTCCTCCTCCATGATCGGCTTGTTCCAAGAGCACGGCCCATGCGGCATTGACGCCAATGGCTCCGTCTACAACAACCCCTACTCCTGGAACAACGCCAGCAACATGCTCTACATCGACCAGCCCGTGCAGACCGGCTTCTCCTACAGCATTCCGGTTCCCGGCTATGTGGATTCTTCCACAGACAATGTTATTGCTCTGCCCTCCCCCGCCTGCCCCGACTATGCAGCGGATATGTTCTGTGGCACTTACTCCTACCCCAACGTGAGCCTTACGGCTAATTCCACCGACAACGCCGCCCCCAACTTCTACCGCGCCCTACAGGGTTTTATGGGCGCATTTCCTCAGTACTCGCGCGAAACCTTCCACTTCACCACGGAGAGTTATGGCGGCCACTACGGGCCCGTCTTCAACGAGTACATCGAGGAGCAGAACGCCCATCTCCAGCCGGGAGCCAAGAAGATCCAACTGGGCAGTGTGATGATCGGCAATGGCTGGTATGACCCGATTATTCAATACCAGGCCTACTACAACTTTACGGTACACTACCTGGTTTCTGATCCTTATCCTTACAGCCTGGACACTAATCTATCTACAGGTATATCCGGGCAACACATACGACTACCTGCCATTCAACAAGTCCATCAGCTCGCTGATGTACAACAACCTCTATGGCCCCGGAAACTGCCTCGACCAGCTCTACGACTGCGCCGCCCGAGGCATCGACGAGATCTGCAGCACTGCCGACGATTTTTGCGCCAACGAGGTCGAAAACGTCTACGACATTTACTCCGGTCGGGATGAGTATGACTTTCGTGAACTCACTCCGGACCCGTTCCCTTACGAGTTCTACGTTGACTACCTGAACAAAGCGTCCGTGCAGGCCGCCATCGGCGCATACATCAATTACACGGAGAGCAACAACGCTGTTGGACTCGCCTTTTCGTCCACCGGTGACGACGGGCGACTCATGAACACCATCCAGGATGTGGGCAAGCTGCTCAAACAGGGTGTCACGGTGGTCATGTACGCCGGGGATGCCGACTATAACTGCAACTGGCTGGGTGGGGAAGCCGTGTCGTTGCAGGTCAAGGCCGCCAACTTCAGTAGTGCGGGTTACACCAACATTGTCACCTCGGATGGAGTGACACACGGCCAGGTGCGCCAGGCGGGGCAATTTGCCTTTGTGCGAGTGTATGAGAGTGGACATGAGGTTCCCTTCTATCAACCCTTGCTTGCGCTGGAGATGTTTGAGCGCGTCATTGGCGGCAAGGATGTGGCGACGGGAAAGATTCCCATCTCGTCGAGTTTACAGACGGTGGGCACGCCCAAGAGTTACTACCGGGAGGGCAACAGCACGATTCAGTGGGAGGTGTTGGATTCTCTGGCGACGTACAACACAACCACGAATGCTCCGAACCCGGTGAGCCGGAGGCTGAAGCGGATGGGACCAGCTTTGCGGTTTCAGATGTAGATCTGAAGTACCTGCGATTGTGCATTGAAGTACATTGTTCAGTGCAATTACCGATCATGGCTAGCTGTGCCGCCCAAAGGGGGAAGCTACAATCTAAACGCCATATCTTTCGATGCAGACACCTTACGAGCCATGAAATGCCATTTTATGATCAGGCTATCTACTGCCGGTGATTTTATGTAGTGTTGGAAATTTTCTGTTCAATCGCAACCCAAAGGAACCAACTGGCTGTAAAAGACACAACATAACTCGCCAGAGCCAAACTGTGCGAAGATATGAGAAGCAAAGTTTAAACGCTCCCAAGCCATGGTTTCCCTGTCAAGCCTCATTCACTCTATTGGCTTCAGCTGAAAGAAGAGGATAAACATTCAGGGGTAGAACCAGACAAAATCTGGTCTGGCGGGGATCTGGTGGGGACCCGAATCCAAGTTGCGTTAGTTTGAGGCATGGATCGACACGCGACGAACATGCAGTGGAGGGCCGCTATCGCTGTTTTGACTCGACATCGGACCAAAACCAAGGAAATTCGTATTCATCGATCGATAGTTCTTCTCATCTGGCAAGGCATGGATCCGTCTCCCCACTTCAGCCGGTACCTCCCGGCACAACAAAAGGAGCATGGCAGCCTGATTTCCTGCGTTCCAACTGTTCGTCGGTTGATCTCCCTGATCAAGTCCAGTTTCTCCCAAGATGGGCAACACAACCAGTATCGCAGGGCGTGATTGTCTGATATCTGCCCTGGGAGGCAATTCAGCCCTTGCGGTTTTCCCGAATGAGCTTCTTTGGACTGCAGATGTCCACGAATACAACCTCAATCTCCCGGTTACTCCGGCCGCAATCACGTACCCGGAGACAGCAGCACAAATCGCTGGTGTAGTTAAGTGCGCCTCGGACTATGACTACAAAGTGCAGGCACGCAGTGGAGGCCACAGCTTTGGGAACTATGGTAGCATACCTCATTCGAAACAATCCCCGAAGGCCATCCTCGACTAACGCAAACGTACTTGATACAGGCCTCGGCGGAGCAGACGGTGCAGTAGTGGTCGATATGAAACACTTTACCCAATTCTCCATGGACGATGAGACATACGAAGCAGTCATCGGACCGGGAACGACCCTGAACGATGTCGATATCGAACTCTACAACAACGGGAAACGAGCAATGGCGCACGGCGTCTGCCCAACCATCAAAACAGGCGGACACTTCACCATCGGAGGACTCGGCCCTACAGCACGTCAATGGGGTCTTGCCCTGGACCACGTCGAAGAAGTCGAAGTGGTGCTGGCCAACTCGAGCATTGTCCGGGCCTCGAACACCCAGAACCAGGACGTCTTCTTCGCTGTCAAAGGTGCCGCAGCCAACTTTGGCATCGTGACCGAGTTCAAAGTGCGTACTGAGCCGGCACCGGGTCTCGCCGTCCAGTACTCGTATACCTTCAACCTAGGCAGCACTGCCGAAAAGGCGCAATTCGTCAAAGACTGGCAGTCTTTCATCTCGGCGAAGAACCTGACCCGTCAATTCTACAACAACATGGTCATTTTCGACGGCGATATCATCCTCGAGGGACTATTCTTCGGGTCCAAGGAGCAATATGACGCCTTAGGACTAGAAGACCACTTCGCACCGAAGAACCCAGGCAACATCCTAGTTCTGACCGACTGGCTCGGTATGGTCGGACATGCGCTGGAAGATACCATCCTCAAGTTGGTCGGCAATACCCCAACCTGGTTCTATGCCAAATCCCTCGGCTTCAGGCAAGACACGTTGATTCCATCTGCCGGAATTGACGAGTTCTTCGAATACATTGCCAACCACACCGCCGGCACGCCAGCGTGGTTCGTCACACTTAGTCTGGAGGGCGGAGCTATCAACGACGTCGCTGAAGATGCTACCGCATATGCTCACAGAGACGTGCTCTTCTGGGTCCAGCTCTTCATGGTCAATCCCCTTGGTCCGATTTCCGACACGACGTACGAGTTCACCGATGGGCTGTATGATGTGCTTGCGCGCGCAGTGCCGGAGAGCGTGGGACATGCGTATCTGGGCTGTCCGGACCCGAGGATGGAGGATGCGCAGCAGAAGTATTGGCGAACGAACTTGCCCCGGTTACAGGAGTTGAAGGAGGAGCTGGATCCGAAGAATACATTCCATCATCCGCAGGGGGTTATGCCTGCTTGAACACTCCCAATAGTTTATGTATATAGACGAGATAAAATGTTTAATTTACGAGCCATAAACAGTGCAGATACTCGCTATAAAATACTGTAACGTAATCCCCACATCATGTCCCCTTACTATGACCCCCATGATATTCATTCGGATGAAAATCCGGATGTCCCGGAATCCTCCCCGTGGCCTTGTACTCTTCCTCCGGGAACGAAGGCCCCAGGGTGGGATGAATCAGGGCAGTCTCATCGAAGATATCGAATCGATGCTCCTCGGCCCATTTATCCACTTTGTCCCAGTTGGCGCACTCGTGCTCGACGACAAAGTTGGGTTTCGGGGCACGGTCAGTGGGATCCCATGTGAAGGTTAGGAGAGCGATGTCGGCCTTGCACATGATATTTTGGCGGAGGTTATCGATGCAATGCTCTTTAGTGCCGTTAGTTATTGCACATTGAGCATCTTTTAAGATGTGGATAGGAACAAACCGATGTGAAGAGGAGTGCTTGGCTTCCCGATGTGATAGTAGCTGTGGTAGACTACTTGGCGGAGGAATTTCTGGTGATTCTTATTAGCTAGTCTATGCATGGAAAGAAATGGCAGGGTCTTTTACCAGGCAATGGAGCTGGTGATATACATCTTATTCTGTCAGAGTAGTAATTTGAGCAATGCTGGGGGAACATACCTGGAATGGCGTAATAGCCTCCCTTCTCATCATTGATTGGGACAGACGTGCGATTAATTCTCGCCAGATCTTCAGCAGTAACTCGGACGTTAGAATTAATGAATAGCTGGTGCCAGGCATGGTCCAATTCCTCAGATGGAGCACCCTTGAATGGATTTTCGCTCTCAATCGAGGCGTTGATTGTTTTTCGCTCTATTTTTACTGCTTCCCATAACGGGGCTAAGGTGCTTCAGTCAGTGATATTACGAGTAGGATAAGCCTTGATGGTATATACTTACACGCTATAAGATGCTTCGGTTTGCTGTCGTGATTTTTGATGCTACTCGTCGATCGGTATGATGCTGTTAGGAATGCAGCACCGTAGATAGAAGCAAGAATGAGATGGAAGCATAGGCTGCTCCATTGAAAGTGAGGCCTGTGTGGGTAGTCCCCGTAGCGGGGGCCATCGTCGAAGTGGTCTTTGTCGAAGGACTCATCGTGATAGTCTTCTGGGCTGTCTGATAGAGGTAGCCTCTCGGAGGAGGAGGAGCTGTCGTTCCTGTCTCTTTTCAGAGCCATGTACATTGTGCTGAGCCTTGCGAGTGACATTTTATTCACGGATACAGAGGCGGATAGTTTCTGCGGTCCTAGTAGGAAAAACAGAAGGTGAAAGACAATGAATGATCTTTCAGAAAATGGAGTAAAATTTTTCATATCAGATTGCTGATGGAGGGTCTACAATTGCTCACTTCCCCAGACAGGATAACTGTGAAACATATCCATGACGCATGGATTTCCCCGCAGGATCAATATGCAAGTATGGAGCGAGCGGAGGAACCTGTACTACTCAAATCACTGCAGCGAGTCTCAGGGAACACAATCCGGAACATCTGGAGCTTCATGTTTGGCCGGCTACCCCGCATTCTGCGCCATTTGCTTAGATGATGTGCAGATATTTCCTGGATGATTAGGACTCACGGCATATCAGTGGTCATGGGGTGAAGCTTCACCATGTGTTTCAATGATGAATCACCGTTGAACTATCGATGTCAAGCAGCGCAGGATCACATATTTGCACTCAGTTCCAGGAAAGTTGGGATCACAGCTGGGCGAGCTATTGCCTCGACACAGTCGGCCAGGGTTCAACCGTAAAGCAATCATGCTTTTGTGTCCTATACTTAGCTGCGAGTACATCTTTAAGGAAGCGATGACGACGCTCGGTTACTCGCCACATTCTACGCTCAGATGGCCGAGTTTGGTGCAGTATTTGTCTGACATGATGTGCGAAAAGCAGGCCATATTTGTCGATATAAAGGCTGTGAAATTCCCGTGGATTCGGGGTCCATTACATGCTACCACGTCAGCTCACTTGCTGCTAAGAGCAAAATAACATTATTCTTCCACTTATCTCTCTAGGAAAAAGAATATTCCAAGTCAGCCACGATGCATACCCCAAAGATCTTACTGTCCTTGTGCCTCACTATCGGTATGGCTGCGGCTTTGCCTGGTAAGTGGCTCATCTTGTTTGATTTAAAAGGCTGTACTGACGCTCGCAGCGGTGGGATCTACCAGCATGTTAGACGGTGACTTGTACAACTACAAACGGGGTACTAGTGAGCTTGACGGAGATCTCTACAACTATAGAAAGCGCAACAACGCCGAGCTTGATGGTGATCTTTACAACTACAGGCGCAGCAAAGCTCAACTTGATGGAGACTTGTATAATTACAAGCGTGATGATGCTGAGCTTGATGGTGATCTCTACAATTACTAAGTCTGCACTCACCTCTGCGCAATACGCTGTTACCTCGTACAAGGGGGTGAAATGAAATCCGAATATCCTGGAAATAAATGGCTTCATAGCTTTTTGTGTAGCTTAATGACACCTCTCGCAGTAACTGTGATACGTTGCTCCAAGAATGCCTCTACCCTAGGTTTCCAATGTGTTAAACTAATATTTCATAGAGCATCTCGCAAGCGTGGCTTACTTTCTGTAGCGCATTTGATGTGATAAGAGCCTAGAAGTCATACATTCATCGAGCTTGGACTCTTAGCTAGATAGTCACGCGATAGTTACAGGCTCATACCGTCTATGAACAAGATTCTTTACGTCCCTATGTGTCCATATGGCTCCATTATGCATTCTATTCTAGCTCCAGGTTCATGCAGTCTGCAAATAAGTATCTTTACGTCCCTATGTGTCCATATGGTTCCATTATGCATTCTATTCTAGCTCATCGAAGCAAGCAAAACAAGCAAATCACAACGGCATCAAATCCCTCACCCGCACCACCTCCCCCTTTCTCATAGATTCATTAGCCGCAATCCCAGTAGCAATAGACCAAGCCCCATCAACATGCGTCGCAGCTCTGCCCAGAGGATCTGCATCCGGAGTGCCAAACAGATCTTTCAGCAGCTGGGGATCCCCACCCCCATGACCTCCCTGACCCGTAGGCACTTCAATCTCCACTGGTTTCTCAAACAAAGGCCTTAGAAGAATAGTCTGTCGTTCAAGAGCGCCCTCCAATGCCTGCTCACCACCCGAATTAACATACGATTGTTCCACGACCTCCACCTCCAGCCGACCTTTACTCCCAGTGAAGTTCACCCGGAATCCCTCCCAAGGCGCATACGCCGTGAGACTATAGGTCATCACAGCTCCGGACTCATACCGGACCATCACCCCCATCGTGTCCTCAATGCTGATGCCATCGCCGAACACGCTCTGATCACGGTAATACCCATCTTCCCACTCTGCGTCCGCGTACAGACCCTTCAACTTCTCATTGCCCTCAAGATCCAGTGAAAACGGATCATCCCGAGCCAATTCACTTCCACGAGAGCGCGAGTAGAACCTCCTTTCGCCCCGTCGCTCTGCATTCTCCTTCCCATAGAAGCGTAGATCCCCCATCGCAACAACTGACTCGGGCCGAGTCCGGAGCCAGAAATTCACCAGGTCGAAATGGTGCGTTGATTTATGCACTAACAGGCCTCCAGTGTTTCTCTTGTCGCGGTGCCAGCGGCGAAAGTAGTCTGCTCCATGGGAGGTGTTGAGCACCCACTCGAAATGCACGGCATTGAGCTCGCCAATCGCTCCGCTCGCCAGCAGTTCCGCGATGCGCGTGTTATGCGGGGCGTAGCGGTAGTTGAATGTCACGCGGACCTTGCCCTGGGTCCGATCCACGGCGTCGAAGATCTGTCGACAACGCGGCGCATCGATGGTCATCGGCTTCTCCGTGATGACATTACAGCCCAGCTCCAAGGCACGGACGATGTACTGGTGGTGGGTGCGGTCGATGGTGGTGACGATCACCTCATCCGGACGAGTCTCCTCGATCATTCGATCGAAATCGCTCGCATTGTAGGTTGGAATCGCAGCGTGACCCAGCGATTGGATCTGCGAGTTGGCGTATGCCAAACGAGTGGAGTTGGTATCGCAGAAAGCGACGAGTTCGGCGGTGCTGGAGAAATCGCGCACGATGGCCGTGTAGAAGAACATGGCACGGCCGCCCGTGCCGATGAGGGCGTATTTCTTCATGGTGCCGCTGGTTGTGAGTAACGATGGCTCGTAAAGTGAGTGTTCATATTCATGGGGGAGGAATGACCATAGCTGAGACAGCTAATTGGGTTTATATGCTGTCGGGACACACTCACCCGAAGCGCAGATCTGGTATCTCGCACGGACATCCCACTTCGCCCCCCACGCAGCTTAACTGCCAGAGTTTTTCCATCAACCGGAAACAGGCCAGAATGCGGGGAGACTGGGGTTGGAGAATCTGGGGTAACGATGTCAGATCAGCCGACGAGATTGATGGTGAGATAGCCTCGGCAGTTATCTGATCAAGTTATAATTGACGGAAGTGCAGTGACTTTAACCGGGTTATCTTGGCCGAAAGGATATAAATCACGTAGAGTCACCGAGTATCTATTCTCCTATCTGCAAGCTGGTATTCGCGATGGCGACCCGGGCAGAAGAATCCCACGATGCCATCACGGCCGTGGACACCCTGGCCCATGGCACAGGGAGAGAGAAGGCAGCGGACTTCCTAGCCACCGTCAAAGAGGAAGAACGGACATTCAGCCCAGAAGAAGAAAAGCGCGTTCTTAGACGCATCGATCTCCGTATACTGCCTCTTCTGCTAGGAGCATACTTCTTCCAACAACTGGACAAATCAACGCTGTCGTACGTGTCCATTTTTGGCCTCGTCGAGGATGCACATCTGCACGGCCAGCAGTACTCATGGCTTGGATCTATTCTGTATCTTGCCCAACTAGTGGTGCAACCACTTGCTGCCTTGCTACTTGTAAAGGCCCCAACAGGGAAAGTCATCGGAACCGCGGTGCTGCTATGGGGAAGTTCGCTGGCCATCATGGCAGCGTGCACGGACTTTGCCAGCCTACTAGGGCTACGACTAACCTTGGGGACATTTGAGGCTATAATAGGTATATCCTAGCCTGTATCTGGTATACCGCAATATGGTGACTAACGAAAATAGCACCCTCATGTGTGGCCGTCACGCAAATGTGGTGGCGTCGAGGCGAGCAGACCCTTCGGACGGCAATATGGAACGCGATGAACGGGGTCACCTTTATAGTATTAGCCCTACTATCATCTTATGCAAAGACGATCCTAACTATTCCAATAGGTCGGAAGTCTATTCACGTACGGACTCGGCCACATCTACAGCGACAACCTCTACTCCTACCAGGCGAGTATCCTCTCCCCACCCATCCATAATATTCACATAATAACCCTCGAAACACAGATAATCTTCATGTTCTGCGGTCTCCTCACCGTCGCCTACTCAATCCTAGTCCTAATCTTCATGCCCGACTCCCCCATGGAAGCCAAGTTCCTCTCTGAACGCGAGAAAGTGATCGCTGTGGAACGTCTCCGAGCCAATCAGATGGGCATCATCTCGCGCGAATGGCGATGGGATCACGTCTGGGAGACGGCATACGACGTGAAGACGTGGCTGTGGTTTTTTCTCATCGTGACTATCTCGTGCGTACATACCCCCCCAATAGCTCACAGCAGTATCTAACTTCGAATACAGTATCCCCAGCGGCGGTATCAGCACATTCGGCAACCTCATCATCAAGTCCTTCGGCTACGGATCGTTCGAAACGATCCTCTTCAACATCCCCTTCGGCGCTATTCAGGTCATCGCCATCCTAGGCGGAGGGTGGCTGGCCACGCGGTTCCAGCGGAAGGGGCTCGTGATTGCCTTGTTTGCGGGGATTTCTGCCATTGGGACGTTATTGATGATCGTTGTGCCAAGAGAGCAGAAGGGTGTTCTTTTGTTTGGATATTACTTGGTATGTTTCCTCTATTTCTCTCGCAGGCTAGACGGATCATATTGATGATATATATGCACAGGTCTCCTGTCTTGCGGCCATAACGCCCCTCGTCTACGCCTGGGAAGCGCAAAACACTGCCGGGGATACCAAGAGGAAGTGCACTTCAGCCGTGGTGCTGATTGGGATGTGTGCTGGCAATGTAGGCTTCTTTGCCCCCCTCCCTGGTTAAGTATATAAATTCATGGCCTTATCTAATACGACTAGGTCATTGGCCCCCAACTCTACTCCACCTCCCAAGCACCGCTATATCGACCGGGCCTTATATCCAATCTTATCCTGTTCGTGTTGGTCGCGGTCTTTGCTATGTACGTTCCATCCTTCCTGATTGCATGGCAGAGGATGAAAGGAGTTCGCTGACCCGCACAGACTCGCTAATTTATATCTCATCTATCTGAATCGGAAGCATGCACGACGGAGGACGGAACTGGGCAAGTCGGCTCAGATTGTCGATGAGTCCATGCTTAGGAAGAAGGCTGTGGAGCAGGGGAAGGTACTTGAGGTGGAGGATGTGAATGTGAATGTGAATGTGCTGGGGGATAACGATAAGGGGTTCTCGGATATGACGGATTTGAAGAATGAGGATTTTATTTTTGTTTATTGATACATAGGATAAGGTTCTGGGTGGTGGTATGTTATGTTCGCGGGTATTCTTTTGAATGGTTTGTTGATTATAGTAATCTTTTATTAAAATAATCATCTGGTAAATAAGGGTTAGGAGTCTTTGGGCTGGGATGATCAGTATCCCTGACCTGTTACTAGATGTAGCTTGCCTGTTGATCACTCATCGTCCTCGTCATCCTCATCGTCATCGTCTTCGTCGTCCTCGTCATTCTCTTCCTCATCCTCATCGTCCTCATCGTCCCCATCATCCTCGTCAGGAGAGCTGCACTTCCCACTATCGCAAACCAAATCATCCGAGCAGTCATCCTCAGTGGAACAGATCGCGCCTGCAGCAGATCAGTATGAGCCATTGGATTTGTATCGATCGGAGCGTCCACGTACCTTCGCAGTGTCCCTGCCAGGAGCAGGTGGCTGTGGAGCCTGAGGCACTCGAGGTGCTGGCGGCGCTGGTCGCGGCGCTCGTCGCCAAGGTGGTCTGAGAGGGTACGCTGGCGCTGGGGCTAGGGCTGGAGCCGGACAGTCCCAGGTTGGAGGCGAGAGCTCCGACCAGCTTGTCGCCCATTGACCGCAGAGTGCTGAAGTTGGTGATGTAGTTCTTGTTCAGGGCACTGCTGGGGAGGACGGCGTCGTCGCCGGTGAAGACGATGTCTGTTTCTATATTAGATGGAAACGTTTCAGGTCACCGGGTGTAGGGCTTACAGGTTACGTCGGCTTCGGCGTGTCCCTCGGCTCCGTTGAGATCGTCGTCCGGGAAGCAGGTGCGGGCCATGAGCCACGAGGCTTCGCCGGTTACCTCGGGGTCGTCGCCGTTGGAGTCACCCAGAATGCCGTAGTACATCTTGCCGTTGCTAAGGAGGTCAGTCAGCATGATGGGTTCCAAAGTATGGGGGGTAGACTCACCAAATCACTGCGGCAACGTTGTTACCGGGCAGTAGGTCCTCGTTGGCTGTGAGAAACTGGTCTGGAATGACAATCCAGGGAACCTCATAAGCTGACAGGGCTCCCCAGTTCGTCTCGGGCAGACCATCTCCGTTGCCCTTGCACTTGTAGTCTATGCCATCACAGTCGACATCCATGTCAGCTACCCAGCTGAGCGCGGCGCCCTGTAGTCATTAGCAAGGGTACTGCCCACTCTAATCCGAGGGTAATTGAGACATACCTGATTGAACTTCACCCAATCGCTATGAATGGTCGACTTGGGGGAATCATCATCCGTATTGACGGGATAGGTAGCCTTGGATGGCACCGAACTGGCCTTGGCTGCAGCCGACTGCAAGGCCGCGACGGGCAGGGTCGTGGCCGCGGCAAAGTAGCTGGCCGGGGGACCGTTACTCGGGCTGTTGTACTTGGAGCCATCGACGGACTGGGCTTTGACGGAGCCCGCGAGGGCGAGGAATGCAAGACCGGCGGTGGTTTTGAATGCCATGATGAGAAGGTGCCAAGTGAAGATGGGAAGTGATTCAGGTAATTCAAGGAACGATGCGAGGGAAGATGATGGTGATGATAGCAATGGCCGGGGCGAGCAGGCAATTTATATCTTCATCGTCGAGCGAGATGGCACCTCGCTTCATATCATCTTCATTCACTTGCTGTCGGGGAGAATTGAGGTCTGGTGGAGCTTGGCCCCCAAGTTGAGTCGGAGCGAGCTTGTCGCGAGAGATCCGATGTCTCGTCACCGTTTCATCAGCGGAGGAGTTAATATTCAGCACTGCTGTGGAGAGATGTTGAACACTATCCTTCTTCCACTTTCTCATCTTCTCATTTGGCAAGAGGTCTTTCTAGACAGTTTAGAAACGGGTATATTCACCGGACAGGTGGTGAATGCCACGTTGAGCTGATGATGATATTCCGGTTGACCCTTCGAGCGTTTTCTTGTGCACTGTTAGACCCTGACCCCATGCTCTGCAGGGCAGAAAACCTAAAGGAAGCACTAGTGACCGGTAACGACCCGGGATGGTGTTTGGCGATCCAGAAACGAGTCCTGCAGAACCGTTTCGGCCCGCAGGAATCCGGAAAGGAATGGGAATACGACCTGGGGGCCTTGGGGGCCGCAGCAGGCGAGGTTTTGATATGAAGTCGGAAGCCTCTCCACAGATTGTGGTATGTCATATAATGAGATGGTGAAGGTGGAGGATCGTCATAGGATCGACGAGTGGCCGTTATTGAGGTTATTTATAGGCTTGGGGTGGTTTTACAGTGAGACGGCCCCCGACCGGTTCATTATGCGGTGCCAGAAGGGGAAGGTCATTCCATGAACTGTGTCCATCCCATGTGGTGTCAACTAACAAGACAATTGATTCATTACTAGTCAATGTCTGGATAACCTTCACGTGTCTTGACGATAAATCTCACCGGGCATCGTGGATGGATGTCTTACAGCCAGTTCTTCTTTGATTCGGGTAGTCCGGTGAGAGCGAATTGTGCCATTAGACGATTACAGAAACCTTGGTTGGATTGATTGTTGATGTGTCAGTCTCCAGGAAGTGTACGGAATCAATTCCCGACCGTGATATTGGGGGAATGATCTGACCCAGTCGAGCTGACAAAATTGTAAATTGGGGGCTGTCAGCCCAGGTGAGAGGGTGTATAAAAGCGACCACCCGTCATGCCACCAGTTGAAGGGACTGGCGTTAGTCCTCAAGCATGGAAAGAACTGTAGACACAGCTGATACCCTGATACCGCCGATACTCTGCACCAGAGAAAACCAAGGTTCAATCCCACGAGGAGGAGGTGAAGAAGAAACGGCACATCTCGGGGCGTTGGAGAGACCCTCCACGAGGCCACTTCCTACAACTAGAGGGCGACTTTGCACGGTCGCATGATGTTTGTACTTGCTGAAATGCCTTGGATCAGGCACCACTCAGGGGTCGTAGTGGGATAAGACAACTCACCGGTGCCAGCGCAGGTACATGCATTGAGCCTGTCTCGGGAGGTGGATGGAAGTGGAGGAGAAGATGGACGATCCTTGCTCGATGCGTCCCTCTCAGGGACCGTCGAGATCCCGTCGAGGAAAACACAAAGTAACCTCGGTCAGATCTCGATCCCACCCAACCAAAGCCATGTGCCTGTCCATTTGGTTACTTACCCTCACAATGGAAAATTTTCACCCAGTTCGCAATTATGTTCCGAGGATTGCCAGATCAATATAGGGAACTAAATAGATATATTTGAATTTTCAGGTACCACCCGATCTACCAGTAATTTCTATTCTCTGCAATCAGAAACACCAACACTTCTTATGAGTACGGATGGGTATGGCAGTGCAACAGTTGGGGTCGAGTTTCAGCCTCCGCGAGACAGGGCACAATCCTCCGGGGGGCCAAATATTCTCGAAGTTGCTTGCCTCAATGTGTGTGATGATGCAGATGTAGATGCAGATGCAAATGCAGATGACCTGTCTGGTGACTGACAACGAGACAATGTGATCAGTGCGAGCATGGGATTTTGATAGATAATTAACTAACTACGGAGTACTACTACTCTGTAACTCTGTAACTCTCCACTACTGTAGGAACCCCTGGGTGTGCCTGGCCCGGTACCTGCATGGATTTCCTGCCTGACCGCGTCATCCGGGTTGGGGCCAAACATGGAAACCCATCATCCAACGAGGAAAGGATTGCTGACGATTTTTCCCGTCCACCAACACAGAAAAACCTAATTCGGTACTGTCAAAGCCCGGCCTGGATGTTCCCTCTCCAACCCGAAGAAAAGTGACCTCCCCTCCCTGAATGAAATCTCCACTGAGGGGGGATAAAGAGAGAGGGGGGAGGGAAGAACCCGTGCCGGAATCCATCATGGACTGGCATGGCAATATCCACAATGAGGAGAAAAAGAGAATCAGGGGCATAAGGAGAAGGCCGGGGCTAGAAGCAACTGTCCCCCCACCCAGCCAGGGAATCCAATTTAATCCAGTGAAATCAGTTAATTACCGTTGAAATGAAAATGTGTGTTTATTTTTATGAAGAACAAGCATCGGCCCTAAGAATAGCTTGCTATTTTTATCTCGTTACTATTGGATGGTTAGTCTTCAAGGCCACGCTGTGATTTGCCACTCGGCTGCCGGGGTGTCAATTTCGTGGCTGTCCCTGGATCCAACCAGCTTGCGCCAAGCACACCCCCAACCCACTGCGCTCTTTTGTCATCCCGGCGGGGACATTCCTGATTGGACCATGTGGCAGCCACAGATCCACTCTCGCCCAGTGGTGGGGTGGAGTCCAACCCAGGCACGAGCTCATCCCATTGGCTACAGGATTTACTGACGGGGCAGTCGAATTTCCAGGTTCAGGCCAATCTGGTCGGGCTGGAAGTCTAGAATGTCTCGGTTGCCTCCCTTAGTTTCGTTTCCCTTGTCGGCTCTCTCTTTTCCCCTCATACATCTTACTTCTTCTCCTCCTCTTTCTCCTCTTCTTCCTCTCTCTTTCTCCTTCTTCTTCAATCATCTCTCTCTCTCTCTAACTCAGAACTCGGTTTATTCCTTGTTCATTCCATTCTTTCTTACACTCCCTCTTCTCGCTCTCAGCTCTCTGTGTAGCGTATCACTCTCTTTCCCTACCTCACCCACTCTTTGATAATCCCTTACGTTCTTTTTTTTCACGACCGTCACCATGCTCTCCAAGATGCAGCTCGCCCAGCTGGCCGCCTTCGCCATGACCCTGGCCACCTCCGAGGCCGCCTACCAGGGTTTCAACTACGGCAACAAGTTCTCCGATGAGAGCTCCAAGTTCCAGGCCGACTTCGAGGCCGAGTTCAAGGCCGCCAAGAACCTCGTCGGCACCTCCGGCTTCACCTCCGCCCGTCTCTACACCATGATCGTACGTTTTACCCCCAATCAAAAAGATGGATCATCACAATGATGGTGCAAGTTACTCACTCGCCGATAGCAAGCCTACTCCACCAGCGATGTCATCGAGGCCATCCCCGCCGCCATTGCCCAGGATACTTCCCTTTTGCTCGGTCTCTGGGCCTCCGGTGGTGGCATGGACAACGAGATCACCGCCCTGAAGACCGCCATCTCTCAGTACGGTGAGGAGCTCGGCAAGCTCGTCGTCGGTATCTCCGTCGGCAGTGAGGATCTCTACCGCAACTCCGTCGAGGGTGCCGAGGCCGATGCCGGTGTTGGTGTCAACCCCGACGAGCTCGTCGAGTACATCAAGGAGGTCCGCTCCGTCATCGCCGGCACCGCCCTCGCCGACGTCTCCATCGGTCACGTCGACACCTGGGACTCCTGGACCAACAGCTCCAACTCGGCCGTCGTCGAGGCCGTCGACTGGCTGGGCTTTGACGGCTACCCCTTCTTCCAGAGCTCCATGGCCAACTCCATCGACAACGCCAAGACCCTCTTCGAGGAGTCGGTCGCCAAGACCAAGGCGGTTGCCGGTGACAAGGAGGTCTGGATCACTGAGACTGGTTGGCCCGTCAGCGGTGACTCCCAAGGTGACGCCGTCGCCTCCATCGCCAATGCTAAGACTTTCTGGGATGAGGTTGGCTGCCCTCTCTTCGGCAACGTGAACACCTGGTGGTACATCCTGCAGGATGCCTCCCCCACCACCCCCAACCCCAGCTTCGGTATCGTCGGCAGCACTCTCTCCACCACTCCCCTGTTCGACCTGTCCTGCAAGAACTCCACCACCTCCTCCTCGTCCGCCGTTGTTTCTGCCGCTGCTTCTTCCGCCGCCGGTAGCAAGGCCGTTGGTTCTTCCCAGGCCTCTTCTGGTGCCGCTGCCTGGGCCACCTCCGCCTCCGGCTCTGCTAAGCCCACCTTCACCGTTGGCCGCCCCGGTGTGAACGGCACTGTCTTCGGTAACGGCACCTACCCCCTCCGCCCCAGCGGTTCCGCCTCTGCTCGTCCCTCCGCCGGTGCCATCTCCAGCGGCTCGGGCTCCAGCTCCAGCGGTTCGGGCAGCTCTGGTAGCACCGGCACCTCGGCCACCTCCGGCCAGTCCTCCTCTTCCGGCAGCTCTGCGGCCGCTGGCTCTTCCTCCCCCGCTGCCTTCAGCGGTGCCAGCACCCTCTCCGGCTCCCTCTTCGGTGCCGTGGTGGCCGTCTTCATGACCCTGGCTGCTTTGTAAGGAAATGAACGGATGACACGGGTTTCCCCCCCTCCCCGCCAACCCTCTTCTCTGGGTGATTGGAGTTTCTCTCGTTTTTTTGGGTAGCCCCGATTTTGTGTTCCGGTGTTCTTTTTCGGTCGACTTTTCCCTTCTTGATACATATTTTATATTCCCTCAAAACTTTTTGTGTGCTTGCCATGGTTTGGCCCGGATGATAGACAAATGTTAATTTAGACTTGAGATCTTTCCATCCAGCTGCATGATCAAGCGCATTGCAATCGACCGAATTGTGGAATCTTGTAATGTAATCGATACCCTGCTACTCAACCAGTAAAATCCTTGACCGGTCCGGATATATCATCTTCGTTCGGGTATTGCCATACGCGCAGTTACTGCCAAAGGCATCTACGTCCCTCCGATTATTCCCATGGAGGTCACATCTTTGCTTCCCGTGTAGTATCAGGTAACCTTGCTGCTGATGTCGTTGATCCCCTTGCCAGGACGCTTCCTTACCGTGCTGCGGACTGCGCTATACCAGTATTTAGCCAATCTTCGTTATATGTCTCAACGGAATGGATAGCTGCATAATAGACAGACGCGCTTTGTTCAATACTTTCTTTGCAGATTTGGCCATGAGAATTGACAGATGATGTGGTTCATCGTTCACTACAGTAAATTCATTTCGTGCATAAACTCAGTTCAACTTGGGAGTCGTAGTATTGATGAAGCCGGATATATATATAGTAGAGACTATGGTGAAACAAGCATCAGGTCTCCATGACATGAGAATCTCACTGGTGGTTCTTTTTACGTACTATTGCACATTTCTGCAAAGTAAAACGACAAATTAAGAATCTATTGCCGGTAGCAAATTCCTATTAGAATCCTCGAAGCAATAACTGGCCATCATTATTTGAGACTCCGATTTTCTGCAGGTTTAAATGCTGTCCCGATCGGGAATAGTCATGTTGCAGAAATGGTCCTTCTTCTTCTGGAGGCGGTGTGAGATGATTCCTCCAGTGCAACATCTTTCTTAAGAGGTTGTCCGATTGCAGCACTGGTTGCATCGGGCAACCTCGGGGCCCGCTGGGTGATTCTTTTCCCTTGTACAAAGCCACTTGGAATGGCATTGTGGTCGTGCATGCAAAGAAAGAAGAAAACTCTGGCAAGGTGCCATTCATCCATGGCTGTTCCATCCACGGTTCTCCCTGGAATTGCTGCCTGAGGCTCTAGTAATGTTTGTGCAAGTCACGTGCTAGTTGCATCTCCGCCAGTCATCTGCTGCCTTCGCATGTTGGTCTCCCTATAAATCTACCCTTTTATCAGACTAGACGATTCCAGAATACCCCTGTGGGTCTGAACGCATCATCCCACCATAGACATACCTACTCAGTGCGCATTGGGACTCTGCTTGCCGGAAACATCCCAAGAGCAGCAGACTCTGCAGATTCCTGACCAGAAGAAGGGATACCGCTTACTGCCTCTGTTGGTCAATCAGTCTGGGGCAGAACTGAGGACAAGGTCATACTCTAGTAGTGGAACAGTGACCCCGGAATATCATGGTGGTGTCGGCATTATCTGGTGATGCAGCATCCGAGAAGAAATCTGCTACTGCAGACAAGCTACAGCAGCGGTATAAGCAGGGAATCGTGCTTCGAACCTGCCGCAGCCAACCAACACAATGGATTGACTGCTTTCAGTCCAACCTTGTAGGGTTCACATTACAATTGCAACGTGTTGCCCCACAACAGACCATGGGCCTGATTGCTACCTAGGCCTCTCGCAGCTGCTTTTGTCGTCATGCCAGTTGCAATCGAATACATTCAGTCTGTGAGAAGGATGTGATATTCTGTCTGGGATTTCTTTCGAGAGCCATGGCATGCAAACAGGACAGCTGGGGCGTACAATTTGGATACACCCTCTGTAATCGTCCCATCTCCGATAGCCGGACCATACCTAGTTTGCCTATTTTCGCATCTTGCAACCTTCCTCCTCGTACGACTGCGGTTCCTGACCTGCCCATAACCCCTAGCTTGTATACTCCAAACATTGATGGATATTGATTGGGTAATTGATTAGAAGAATCCGGGTCTCATGGTCTACTCATGGGATCACTGGATTGGTTGGCTGTCTGTGTTGGGCAACGTCAACCGAGCTGATTCGGAGATTAGAGCGCAGAGCATCGTTCTCAGTGCATGGAACCCATGCAGTTCTGGCAGGAACCGAGCAGCCCTGGCCGAGATTCTTCCTGATAAAGCGGGAGGGTGCGGCGGAGACTTTCACCTTTGCGGAAGATGATCGCCGCCAACCACGTTAGTCCGTTTCAACGCTCCTCTCCTGGTGGACCAGCTTTAAGCTTAATCCCCCAGTCATGCCAACCGCTGAGACCCCGATCTCGTCTGATCATCAGTTGCAGAACCTGTACCTGCAGGGCCTCGTCATCCTTGATCCATTCTTTATTTCCTTCTCCGCCAGTCTCCAGGCAGCATCCAAACCTTGCCCATTTCAGGTTCATCGGCCGGAATCCGTTCTCTCGGTTGCATCCGAACCGGCGGACGACCGCATCCTCAATCAAGATGGTTGTTTCCAATGCTTCGTGGGTGGGGTGGATTACGTTGCTCCCGGTGGTTGCAGAACCATCCGATTCCCCTCTCAGGCGTATATAATGGCTACGGTATCCCATCTGCAATCAATCTTTTCCACCCAAACCAGTCCCTCCTTCCGTCCCTCTTTTCACCTTTTGGTCATTCGTTCATTATGTCCAAGTTCCTCCTCTGGACCGTCTCTGCGGCGGCCCTCGCGCGCGCCGCGACTCTTGAAGACGTCTGTACCACTGCTCATGCGAAGGCCGCTGTGCCTGTCTCCGGCTTGGTGCAGGGAGTGGTCACCAACCCTTCCAGTATCACCGCGGCCCCCGTTTACAATGAATCCACCGCCGGTTCCGACTACTACCCGGCCGGTACCTATGATTACTGCAATATCACCATGACTTATTCTCATGCGGGCAAGGACGATAGCGTCCTGCTGCAATTCTGGATGCCCACTCCTGACGACTTCCAGAACCGCTGGGTGTCCACCGGTGGCTTTGGCTTTGCCATCAACGTTGCCTCCAACGTGCCTGCTGGTCTTCCCTACGGTGCCGTCGCCGGCCGGACCGACGGTGGCTTTGGCAGCTTCGACACCCAATTCTCCTCTGTATACCCCCTGGTGAACGGTACCGCCAACTACGACGCTCTGTACATGTTCGGCTACCAGGCCCACCACGAGATGTCCTCCATCGGCAAGGCCTTCACCAAGAACTTCTACAGCATGTCCGACAAGCTCTACGCCTACTACCAGGGCTGCTCCGAGGGTGGCCGTGAGGGCTGGAGTCAGGTGCAGCGCTTCCCCGAGGAGTGGGATGGTGCCGTCATTGGTGCCCCTGCCATCCGTTATGGCCAGCAGCAGGTGAACCACCTGGTGCCCCAGGTCGTCGAGCAGACCCTCGACTACTACCCTGAGAACTGCGAGTTCTCTGAGATGGTGACTCTGATCATCGACGCTTGTGATGAGCTCGATGGCCGCAAGGACGGCGTCATCTCCCGCACGGATCTCTGCCAGCTCAACTTCGACCTCAAGTCGACCATCGGTAAGCCCTACGCCTGCAACGCCAGTACCAGCATGGGTGTGGCTACCCCGGCCCAGAACGGCACCATCACTGCTGAGGGTGTGCGCGTCGCCCAAACCATTCTGGACGGACTGAAGGACTCTGAGGGTCGCCAGGCCTACTTCTGGTACCGCATTGGCTCCGAGTTCACCGACGCAGAGACCTCGTACGATTCGACCACCGGCACCTACGGGATTGACATCTCTGAGCTGGGTGGTGAGTGGGTGACTCACGGACTGCAGCTGCTGGATCTTGACAACCTCTCGAACCTGGACAACGTCACCTACGACACCCTGCGTGACTGGATGCTCGAGGGTCTCCAGCGCTACGAGGATGTCCTGCAGACCACTTGGCCCGATCTGTCCCGCTTCCAGGCTGCCGGTGGTAAGGTGATCCACTACCACGGCGAATCGGACAACAGCATCCCTCCTGCCTCTTCGGTGCGTTACTTCGAGTCCGTCCGCGACACCATGTTCCCCAACAAGACCTACAACGCCTCGGTCGAAGCCCTGAACGAGTTCTACCGCCTCTACTTGGTCCCCGGTGCCTCCCACTGCAACACCAACTCCCTGCAGCCCAATGGTCCTTACCCCCAGAACTCTCTCGGCGATCTGATGAACTGGGTCGAGAAGGGCATTGAGCCGGTGACTTTGAACGGAACGGTGTTGAGCGGCGACTACGAGGGAGAGGAGCAGAAGATCTGCTCGTGGCCTCTGCGTCCTCTGTGGAAGAACAACGGCACGGTCATGGACTGCGTGTACGACCAGAAGTCGATTGACACCTGGTTGTATGATCTGGATGCGTATGACATTCCGATCTACTAGGCTCATACTTGCCGGCCTTTCCTTAGAAAAGCTCCATTCTGTACATTGTGTACATTAGTCTGAATATAATACCATAGGCTAGATGCCATGCACCAAATTCTAGATCCAAAAGTAGACATCGTCCGGGTAACAAGCATTAAACTTCCGACTATCGGATCGTCCCGTAGGCAACAACATCATCATGACTCCTCCACCTCGACCTTATTCCCACCTCCAACCACTGCCCCCCACCATCACAACACTAAAGACAAAAACATGAAAATCATCATCATCGGCGCCGGCATCTCCGGCTGCGCCGCATATCTCACCCTCCGGAAACATCTCCCACCACCACCCCCATCATCCTCACCCACCCAAGACCACGAATACACCATCTACGAAGCATACCCCACCACCATCGACACCACCTCTGACGACCGCCCCAATGACGAACACAGCACCCACTCCGCAACCCTAACCATAGGCGGCGGGCTCGGCGTAGCCCCCAACGGCCTCCGCGTACTCGAACGCCTCGACGAGGACATTCTCCGCGACGCAGTCAGCGGCGGATACATGGTCGACCACAGCAACCTGAAAGACAAACACGGCCGGGTGTTGATGCGACTCCCTTCATCCAGCACCACCACCACCGGCAGCAGGGACAGCGATGGAACTACTACTACCCCAATGCACCTCCTCGGCACAAGCCGACATAACATCTGGCGATGTCTGCGCAAACGCATCCCAGACAGCATCATCATCAATAAGCGAGTAGCGAGTGTAACCGCGCACCCTACCCACCGCAACACAGTCACCTTCGTTGATGGAAGCGAGCCCGTACACGCAGATCTTGTCATAGGTGCGGATGGTTTAAAGAGTGTTACTAAACACGCCCTCTTCGATGGGGATCCGTACCCCCCTCATTACGAGTATGCATACCACCCATACACCATGAACATACATACTAATAATAATACTACTAAATCAGAGGCCTAATCGGCATCGGCGGCTTCCTCCCCACCAGCACCCTCCCACCAACCATCCCCCGACCGGAACCAGGATCCATGAATTTCTGCTTCAGCGGAACAGGGTTTTTCGGCTACTTCTACGCTACTAGCTCTCCTACCTCTGTTGATCGCTGCTCCGCATATCATATCTCCCCGCCGGGGGATACATTAGCTTGGTGGACTACATACTCAACACCTACTTCTTCTTCTTCTTCCACCCCACCTAATACTCAAGATCTAGATATGGATGACGTGACGGCCCAACTCCAGAACAGATTCGCGTCATGGACTGACCCTCTCGTCCATCATATTATCCGTTCTGTGCAGGTGCAGACGATGTGGCCGACCTGGACGAGTCCGCCACTTCCTACCTGGGAGAGGGAGGGGGTGGTGCTGGTGGGGGATGCGGCGCATGCGTTGCCGTCGACGTCGGGACAGGGCGCGAGCCAGGCGTTGGAGGATGTGGAGGCTTTGGGAAGGTTGGTGGCGCATGAGGTGGGGATTGGGTATCAGGAACAACTGGTGTTAGGGGTGTCTGGTGGGGTGGAGGGAGAGAAACGGGCTATTCAGATGGCGTGTAAACGGTATGTGGAGATGAGGATGCCGAGGGTGAGGGGGATATTGGATCGGGCGAGGGGGATGCAGAATAGTAAGAGGGATATGGGGGTGTTTGGGGAGTGGGTGATGTATTGGGTGATGTGGGTTATGGGTATGTTTTCTTTTTTTTATTTACTCCTTTTGGTGATGTGTGTATGGGGATATGCTAATGTGTTTCGTCTGGGGGGTAGGGTTCTTTCCAGGGTTGCTTGGGAGGCAGCAGCAGGAGGTGTTTGATTATGATTTGCCGGGGGATGTGGAGCGGGTGTTGGATGGAAGATAGTAGTACTTACTATTCTTCGATGATATTGTGTTGATATGTAGTGTGGGAGTACAGCGCAGACAAAAGTATCAGGTACTAGTTACACTCTCCTCATGCACACTATCCACTTTCTTCTCTTCATCTTCTCCCCTCTCTACCCCTGGCCCATCAAAGATCACTGCTACCTGCTCCAACGTGTATCCCTTTGTTTCTGGGTAGAAGAAGAATGCAGTCACTCCGAACAGCACCAACACCACAATAAACACAATGTAATACCGCCACTCAATCGCGTCCAGGGCAATCGGGTTCACAAACGTATTGAAAAACATGCCGACAATCGTCGCCACCCAGGTGACTGTCAGACCGCGGGATCGTAGTCGGTACGGCCAGATTTCGCAGGGATACGAGGTAAGAAAAGGTGTGCTAGATCATCACGTTAGCGTAAACACTAAGTTGCTGGTGGTGGTGGTGGTGGGACTGACAGAGCAATGCAATATCCTGAAAAGAAGATAAACAAGAACGGAATCACAGCAGCCCCCGTGGCCGCGTTATTGGTCGCCTTGAAAGATCCCGAGAGCGCTGTCACTAGCACGTAGCTGACGAACATGATGACCGCCGAGGCCAGGAACAGTGGACGGCGACCGAGTCGGTCGATCAGGAACGCTCCCAGGGCAGCAAAAATCAAATCCCACATTTGCAGACAGGCCGAGATGAGCGTCTGGTCACGGACACTGGTGACTCCGACCGAGTCCAGGATGAGCGACAGGTAATACGAGACCACTCCGTTGCCGGACCACTGCGCAAATAATCCCAGAGTGATAGAGATCATCAGGCGCCAGCGGTTTCCCGGTGTCTTTACCATCTCTATGTAGCTGGCACTGCTGTGGGCTTCTTGTTCCGCTCGGATGGTGGAACTGATCTCGGAAAATTCATATGCCACAAGGGGAGAGGTCTCGTCGCCAGCAGCGTGATAGCGGGTAAGGATTGCCCGGGCCTCTTCGTTGCGTCCGACCGAGATCAACCAGCGGGGACTTTCCGGGGCCAGGAGGAACCCCGGCAGTCCAACGACGGGCACTAGGGCTTGGAGGACAGAAGGGAGTCTCCAAGCCCAGGAAGAGTCGTAGGTACGAGAGGCAAAGACGACCCAAGCAGCGACAGTCCCACCGACATACCAGCCGGACATGAACAGCGAGTTGAGCATGCCGCGGTGAGTCGGGTAGGCGACCTCGTTGATGAGCAGAGGAACGGCATTACCGAACAGGGCAGACGCACCCCCCAGAAAGAGCCGAGCAAGCATAAACGCAACTGCATTGGGAGCAGCAGTCTGGAGGACGCACCCCAGCGTCAAGAAGAGATATCCGACGTAGACGCCTGGCTTGCGGCCATACCGGTTGGAAATCCAGGCTGCAGTTGGGTAACCAATGCCGCAGCCAAGCCAGTAGATGGCATTCAGCCAGCCCAGCCGTGCTCCGGTAGGATTGTTCATAAAGGCCTTCCACTGGTCCAAGGCCTCAAGACCGTTCATGAGAGATCCGTCATAGCCGTTGGCGGACGAGAACATAACCAATGAGAGAATGATGAGGTTGAGCCGCACCAAGTGAGGCTGCTTGTACCATGCAGGACCTGAAGGGAGGACCGCCGCGAGGTGGTCCTCTCCTGCAGGTTTGCTCGTCGTGTCTGCTTTGCTGACTCCCATGGTCGGTTTCAACGGCGTTTGGAAAAGAAACTAAAACTCAGCACAAGCAAAATTCGAGGAGGCACAGGCTATTTCAAGGGTGGCCTGGGAGGCGTCGATATGTCGGCGGTTTAACCCTTCGCACCCCCGCTGGCTACGTCTCGTGTGGCTCTTCGCGGACAGGACGGCTGTTGAGCGATGCCGTTAATGCGACTAGTGAGCTCGTAACCCTGCATATAATTCGGGAACCAAAGCCATGTGAATACCACCAATCATAGCGAGGCGGGTTTACCCATATCCATGGCGTGAAAGACACTGGACGGCTCATCAAAGTGCTGAACCCACCGACGCACGTTCAGCTGGGGTACGGCAGGTGAGGAAGGTGTGGAGAACTGGGGGAAGTCGGGGTAGGGCATCGGCCAGCATGTCGGGAGACAGACGGAGAAAAGGAGAAACGGAGAAACGGAGAATTGGAGAATCTCTAAAGTCAGTCAAAGATGGGTCTGGATGGCCGTTGAGAAGCAATCAGAACTGCCGGAGCTGGTGGAGCTGGCCCGTCGACCCAAAGATCACCCCATTCATGCTGGCCTCGGTCGGCAGAGTGCGAGCTCCCATGTACTCCGTAAGACGCACCCGCGATGTCCATCCCCCATGACCGCAAGAACATAATTAGATGGCGCGCCCATGGCCGGTCAGCATGCTGGAAATCTGCGAGCATTTGTTCCCAGCTCCCGACATACCACTCCCTTCCACACGGCCGTAGCAGACTGCAAGCATCATGCCTTGCGTACAGGCCGCCGCCGAGACGGACAAGTCGTTTGTCCAGATTGCGAACGCCGATATTGAGGAGCTCATCAAGCAACTGACCCTAGATGAGAAAGTTGCTCTTCTAACGGGTATGTCTCGCAATGCACAACTGCGCACCATGATGGAAGCTGACAGCCTCTGGCTAGGTGACGATTTTTGGCACACCGTCCCCATCCCCCGACTCGGCATCCCGTCCATTCGACTCTCTGATGGCCCGAATGGCGTCCGCGGCACCCGCTTCTTTGGCAGCGTGCCGGCAGCCTGTCTGCCCTGTGGTACAGCCATAGGAGCAACGTTTGACAGAAATCTTGCTGTGCAGGTTGGACATCTGCTAGCGGCGGAGGCCAAGGCTAAAGGCGCTCATGTTATCCTAGGCCCGACGATAAACATTCAGCGAGGCCCGCTGGGAGGCCGAGGGTTCGAGTCGTTCTCAGAAGACCCGCTGCTGTCGGGAATCATAGCAGGTCATTATTGCAAGGGCTTAAAGGAGGACAATATCGTTGCAACGCTGAAACACTTCGTATGCAATGACCAGGAACATGAGCGGATGGCCGTTAACTCCATTCTCACCGACCGGGCGCTGAGGGAGATCTACCTTCTGCCCTTCATGATCGCGATCGCCCTGGGAAAGCCGGAAGCGATCATGACGGCTTATAACAAAGTGAATGGGCTTCATGCATCAGAAAGTCCGGCGCTTCTGCAGGGCATTCTACGTGAAGAATGGGGCTGGGAGGGCTTGTTGATGAGCGACTGGTAGGCCGCAGCCATGCATGCTCCAAAATAATTTCTCGCTGACTTTCGCTGGCAGGTTTGGAACTTATAGCACATCCGAGGCCATCCACGCTGGATTGGATCTCGAAATGCCGGGGCCAACAAGATGGCGCGGCGGTGCCCTGACACATGCAATCACCGCAAATAAAATTCCCATGGCGACGGTAAATGCCCGTGTTCGCGCTGTGCTGCGTCTGGTCCAGCAAGCCAGCCGATCAGGTATTCCTGAGCGCGCCCTGGAGTTACAGCTGAACCGTGCCGAGGATAGACAGCTACTGAGGAAGATCGCCTCGGAAGCAGTTGTCCTGCTCAAGAACGATGACAACATTCTTCCGCTGGACAAGACCAAGAAGATAGCCGTCATCGGCCCTAATTCCAAGATTGCTACCTACTGTGGAGGGGGTAGTGCAGCGCTCAACCCCTACGAAGCTGTAACTCCCTTTGAGGGAATCTCGAACTCAGCCTCAGGCGGCGTGGAGTTCGCCCAGGGGATATACGGACATCAAAACCTGCCCCTGCTGGGGAAACGTCTGCGCACTCAGGATGGCCTTACCGGTTTCACCTTGAGAATCTTCAATGATCCACCTACCGTAGCGAACAGAGTACCGCTAGAGGAACGACACGAAACAGACTCGATGGTATTCTTCCTTGATTACAACCATCCAAAGCTACAACCCGTGTGGTTTGCAGATGCGGAGGGATACTTTGTCCCAGAGGAATCCGGCATGTACGACTTTGGCCTTTGTGTGCAAGGCACTGGCAAGCTCTTTGTGGATGGCAAACTGCTAGTCAATAACGCCAATGTACAAAGGCCGGGACCTAGCTTCCTCGGGAGTGGCACTATGGAAGAAAGAGGCACACTGGAACTCACGGCCGGCCGGCAGTACAAGGTCCATGTGCAGTGGGGATGTGCTAAAACGAGCACATTCAAGGTCCCCGGGGTAGTCGACTTTGGTCACGGGGGCTTCCGATTCGGCGCTTGTAGGCAGCTCTCGCCTCACACTGGCATCGAAGAAGCCGTGCAGCTGGCTGCATCAGTGGATCAGGTCGTCCTCGTGGCGGGGCTGAGTGCAGAATGGGAATCGGAGGGCGAGGATCGCACAAGCATGGGCCTGCCACCACATACAGATGAATTGATTTCTCGTGTGTTGGAGGTCAACCCGGATACTGTTGTAGTTCTGCAAAGCGGAACTCCCGTGGAGATGCCCTGGATTCAGAACGCAAAGGCTGTGCTGCACGCCTGGTACGGGGGTAACGAAACTGGTAATGGCCTTGCGGATGTCATCTTCGGTGATGTGAACCCGGTAAGCTCTTCCTTTCCAGCCTTTTCTGGCGCTGCTAACTCAACTGATGTCCGTAGTCTGGCAAACTTCCACTCACATTCCCCCGCCACGTCAAAAACAACCCTACCTATTTCAACCACCGATCCGAGGGTGGTAGAGTCCTGTATGGTGAGGACGTCTATGTCGGTTACCGATTCTATGATGAGATTGAGATCGATCCGCTATTTCCTTTCGGCCACGGTCTCTCGTACACGACGTTCGAACTATCGGGCTTGTCCTTCGAAAGGGATTCCAATTCACTGCATGCCATCTGCACATTGCGCAATACCGGATCCCGGGCTGGAGCGGAGGTGATACAATTATATGTGGCCCCGGTCTCGCCGCCGATCAAGCGACCACAGAAGGAGTTGAAGGAATTCCGAAAGGTCTGGTTAGAGCCTGGTGCGGAAGACGTGGTGCAGATTCCGCTGGATCTTGTCCGCGCGACAAGCTTCTGGGATGAGAAGAGCAGTAGCTGGTGCAGTCACAGTGGCACTTATCGAATCATGCTGGGAACCAGTAGCCGTGGAGCGTTCTTGGAGAGCCCCATTGAATTGAGCGAGACCACTTTCTGGTCGGGGCTCTGAGCAGAACTGTATCAACAGAATAGCACGCTGACACGAGTATTAACTACTTTTTATTCGATCTGTATCTATCCAAGTCTGCAGATGCATCGTGACCATGCCTTCGCTGCTGTCCAGGCGGGACAAGATGTCGGTCGATTGTCGTAGATACTCGGTTGCTCGCTCCGCTTCCGGGCCGGCGGCATGAAATGGGCATACCAGCAGGCCCGCCGCAATATCACGCACTTTGTACGCCAAATGTAGACCGTTCGCTTCCAGATTGATCTGGGGCAGGCTGTATAGGATGCAGAATAGTTGACGACAAAGGCCCTCCCTCTGGAGCCACAACGCTTTTGCGTCAACCATGGGTTGTACGTGGTTGGTAGAAACTAGTGACGGCTCTGATTTGTGCGCCTGCGCCGCCTCCAACTGATCAACAAGCAAGCTTTGTAGCCACAGGTGCGTGACGTGTAAATTTGCTCGCATAGAAGCAAAGTGTGACTGCGTCATCTCCGTCACACCAGTGCTGCCACCTTCATGGGCGATAGCCTGGCTATCCGGTGGCTGCCATGGCCGGAGGAGAGGAGGGATATCCTCCAGTAAGAACCGTAGACTATGAAGACGATCCTGGATGTAAGCAACCTGCACGGCTGCATCGCGGGCCCTCACACAGGGGCACGGCTCAGCCGGTGATTCTGGACAGGTGCTCCTAATCGCAGCCCAGAAAACCCTGGAATGGAGGATAAACCCCGTTACCAGGCATGGAGTATGGGACGGTGGCATGAGCACCTCGTTCTCGAAGATCATTTCGTCATCGACTTCGAGTGGCATGAGATCTTCCGGGTTAATGGAATGGAGAAGGATGGGGTCAAGATACGACAACCGCTCTCCTAGCACATTCTGCAATTGATTATGACTGGATTGAATGAGCGAGACTGACGGCTACGCTCCGGGTGATGCACACTTACACAAATCCGTAGAAGATCAACCAGAAGCCCTTTTTCCGCAGTTGAGTCTCAATGCAGTTAAGTCCATCGTATTCAGAGATTCGATGAAGATTTAGCAAGCGAGCAATTTGTGTCGCCTCCACATCTAGCATGCGGGACCAGTTATGATCACCCAACTGCCGAAAGGCAGCATACAGCAAGTATGAGATGGCAAACTTCTGGAAGTTGATGTGGTCAAAGTAGGTAGAGTCCCTCAGCCGCAGGATTTTGTCATAGCAGTGACGGACCATGTCCCTGCGCGAGGTAAATCTCAAGGGCGGGGTCGCAGATCGATAGAAATGAAATCTGCTAGGCATAGTGGCGATAACCACCGCAGCGATGGCGGTGACGAGCCCGAGGAATCCGCTGTCCTCACGATCCCGGTCCTGCTGCAAGGACTGTTGGAAAGACGGACGATGTACGATTGGAATCAAGGGGTACAGGTAGTCCAAATAGTCCTGCATGATGCAGGAAAACATGCGCCGATCGCATACATCATCCGTGGGATAATTGACGGCACCCGAAGCCCGGCTGCTCCCCGTCCCCCAATCTGGCTGTTCTTGTGCCGGAGATCCTGTACGTGAGCTTGGAGTGTGCGTTAGCAATTGACACCACTCACTGCCAAATCAGAACCGAGCAACGTACCGTTTCTTCGGGCCTCGCGTCCGGGATGGAGACAGAAAGGTGCATGGCAGGTCCAGTCTAGCGCAGCGCCCACATCTGGAAGGGACATCGGTCGATGACGAAGTCACATTGCATTTGACCTTGCGCTTCCGGCAGATGTCACAAGCCTGGGTTGCCAACTCTGCGCGCGTGGGCATGGCAACATTTGGTCTCAACCGATGGCCAAAAGGGAAGGGCTCTGGATGGTTGCATATCGCTGGCTGCCAGCAGTTTGTCCGGATTGCACTGTGCTGCCTGAGTGCCTGAGGCAGGAGGAACCGCACAGAATGTCTAACTCGGAAAGGTCTAGTGTATTGTTTAGTCACTTATGCCGAGATTGCTTGGTCAGCGAGCATAATTTCACCTTCCCTCCCGTTCATACTCGCGGTTGTGCCAGCACTCAATCGGCCATCCGATTTCTGTTGGAAGCTGTAGGTTAATCTCGCATGAAACAAATAGTCGTTGCTGGAGAGTTCGAATATTATATATACCTACTTCGTAGCACTCAGTGTTTCCCGACTCATATACATTATAGTTAATGTCAATGATGAAGATGAGTCACTTTCTCTTGGACCCATCTAACAATTGCGTACTCTAATTCCATTCCATCTGTCACTGGAAGGGAAATGATTCAATGACGATACTTCATATACTAGGCGAGCAAAACTCCTGACTAGATGATAGGCAGTCCTTGTATCAGGTCAACATTGCCACGAGGATGATAATGGTCATGTCCCCGGGCGCCGCTCTTTACTAAGTGCTTGTTAACGGTAGTATAGGAACATGGAGGACGGAGCATCTAATATGGAGATCGTGTAAGGTAAGTAGTATATTAATGCATCTGACTGAGCCTTATCTGATAGTCAGCAGACAAATTACGAAATTCGCAATGACTCTTTCGGGGCTCGCGAAAACCCATTTCAAAGGGTCGTTCCACTGTGGATGAGTATGAAAGGAACTACGATCGGATATCCCACCTAGAGAGAACAACTATACCTGGAGGTATGAAAAGTAATAAATAAATACATATATATATATATATATATATATATAGATTTATATGGTACCATATTATAAAATCATGAATAGATCATTAGCTAGTCCGTCATGCAAAAATAAAACCCGTCACGCCGTCATCTGCCGCGGTCCCAGACACGCGACAAAAGAATTCGCTCATAAAACGCCATTGAATGATGTGAAGAATATAAATGCATATTCAGCTATCCGTGTTGGCACAGGTGAAACTGTTGCTGTTGGCATCGTTGTGGATGGCCGTTCCCGAGGCATAGAGACCCAGGACGCACAGCACCAAACCGAACACAGCGATCGCGGCATTGAGCACGGTCAGGGCGATCTTGCGGGGGCTGGCAAACCACTGGCCGTAGTTGAGGTGGAGCCAGTAGATGCCACTGAGGCCGTAACTGAACCAACTAGCAAAGAGAGCGCTCTGAATCATGTCATTAGCGGCCGGTACGAGAGGATAGACGGTCTGGTCCAAACTTACAATAAGCGAGTTGAGGTCGCTGAAGACAGGGATGGCCTCGGCGATAATCCAGGCAACCAGCCAGCAGGCCAAGCCCAAGGCGATCCAGACGGCGACCGAGCGGCGGCTGCGGCTGTGGATGAGACCCGACTTGGAGCAAGTGCGGAAGTAGATGTACTTCAAGCCGATGTGACCATTCACGACACCGGCACCGACAATCTGCAAACGCGTTAGTGCTCGTTGCATACAAACAGCACCTGTCAAGAGGGATGACTTACGGTGGGAATGGCAATTCCATAGGCAACCTTCTTCAGAAGAGGACCAGCCGAGCTGAGGGCGGGGGATTGCACATCCTTGCCGACGTAGTAGTAGATGACGCAGGCAGCAGTCACGTAGAGACTGATTTCAAACGCCTGCAGCATGAACAGCGACTTCTTGAAGTCCTTGGGCTTCTCCATCTCGGCGATAAGACCGAAGAAGGCGACGTGCGCACAGTAGGCGAAGACAATGTTGGAGACCGCGGTGAAGGCCGTGTAGAGGGTGGTGTCGACGGTGGCCTCGATGATGCGACCGGGGTGCTTCTCGACGCCCACACCGATCATGGTGATCATGACCGCACTGAAGATACTGAGGAAGGCTAAACGGCAAGACGGCCAGTCAGAGATGATGCGTACGCACGGCAGCGGACAAAAGAGACTCACAGGCGAAGGAAATCCAGGTCATGCCCTTCATGGTACGGGGAATGGAGAGGACCATGGAAATGATCATGCCAACCACACTGAAGACGATGGAACAGGTGCCATGGTCGGTGATGGTGTTCATCATGACCCGGAAGGTCAGGAGATGGCTGCCCATGACGAAGATGCAGAAGAGGAACTGGCCCAGGCCGAAGAGTTCACGGCCGAAAGGGCCCATCAGGATTTCTCCCGCATCGGCCAGGTTCTGAATGTGGGGATAGCGTTCTCTGAACAATCCAATGTTGTAACCGGTGTAGGTCGCAAGGATTCCGAGACCAACGATGAGGATGACGGCCCTGAACGACGGGAGTTAGCGGGTGGGAAGGGTTGCATCCACGTTCCGGCTAGACTTACGGGACGAAACCCAGGGTTGCAACGGCGGCGGGGAGCGAGAGCACACCCAGCGAGACAGACTCGCAAATCATGACTGCGGGGGTATTAGAGTTTGCCAATGCAGAGAGAGAAGTGGAGTCAGCTTACGCAGTCCACATTGCCTGTTGTGAATGTGTTAGCCGGCGATGAAGGTGCAATGGTGGGAGGCGGAAGAGACGGATACATACCACCACTTCAAGGTCTTGTACTTGATTTCCGCAAACTCCTCGTTACCGAACGCGTCGGACTCCTCCAGGCCCGGCTTGAGATTCTGCTCCACCTGGCTGATATCCTCCTTCTTCTCGTCAATGCCTTCGGTGGCGTAGGGAGGGGGACTGTCGTGAACGGCCTCCATGGTGGCGAGGTGACGAGGTGCAGGCCGTGATTGAGAGGAGGAAGGTAAGGGAAGGAGATGGAGGAGTGGGAGGAAGAGAAGGTGAGCAGAAGAGGAGAAGAGGAGGAGAGAGACGGAGGAGAAGAGTGGAGGCAGAGAAGGAGGAGATGATGAGGGGGGGGGGATGGGGGA